TGTTAATTATGTATTAAAAAAAGTCAAATTAAATTGTTAGAGGTATTCGAATTTCAACAGATCCTACATGTGTAACATATGTTTTAATCTGGATTAAACGACAATAACCATTCCTGGGACCATTTATTTAGTTCACATAAATCAAGATTTATAGTTGTTTTACAGTCGACGGTTTAACTAAAATATCCCAATAATGTGTTTTCATTTCAAACTTCCACATTCGGACAAGTCTTAGTCTATCTTTTTTAAAGATTACACTGATATGCCGATGATTATTTTATTTTTATTTTGTGAGATCTTAAGGTTAGACAAGATACATTTATCTATTCTAAGGCCATTGTAACATGCCGCACTGGATATGAAATAGCTACATTTTATGTGTATCTCAACAAGAGTAACAAGACGGGTGTCTTATGTAGAGCTTGAACTGCTGTACCTTACTTTGCACTTTATCTCATCCCGATTTTGATGAGGTTCATGTTGTATAATCTTAAGTAGTCTGTGTAATATTTTTTATGTTGTATGTCGTTGGTGTTGTGTGTTTTTATTGGACGTATGATTTCCGATTGCCTCTTGCTATCTTCCCTTATCAAGCATCATGAAAAGATATTGCGACTTTCCCGTTGGCTATTCGTTAGGTCATTGATGACTTTCAAAGATAAAAAAAGATGAAGAACAGGAATAAAAGCCCTGTTCATTCATAATTTTCTATGTTTTCTATGTATTGTGTGCGTATTTGTCCCATGTACATTTACTCCATATCCTTCCATTTTCTATTGATTATAGAGTTTGTCTCTAGTGCTGTGTGGAGGCAGTAGAACGTTTCCCCGTGCTTGACGTGTATGTTCTTATAATATTTACAGTTATGGTGTGCTTGTTCATGTGAAAATTTCACATATTAATACACCGTCAAAATTTCATGTTTGTTTAAATGTCTTCAAAATACTGGTCCGGTCATCTGTTTTGTATATTGCCCTTTCATACTATTTTAAACTACTAGTTTTTCTTACGTATATTTCGATGTGCCCCGCACTGTCTATCATTTGTTGTTTAGTTTTATATGTATTGTCTATCATTTGTTGTTTCGAAATTATTGGTCTTTTGTTGGGCAATGTATGGCAAATATATGTTGAAAAACCTCGCCCGTAATCATGGTAATTATAAATTATATAATTCATTGACCGCTCCCGACATGTGTAACTTCAAGGCATATTTAGCGGCGATCGATGTCTTTCAAAATTACTGCACTTTTCTTGTATTCCTGGTGCTTTCAACTGGAGAACCATCGTACACAAGCATCGCAGGGCAGGTTGTTCATCTATCAGTTAAATTTTAGTCGAGGGTTAAATATCGTATTCCTTTGTTATGTTTTAACCTGTTTTTTCTGTTGTTCATCCTTGGGTAAATCCTTAAAGAATTAAAGTATTTAAATTTAACCTTCCTCTGGACTTTCGTTTAATATTTTGCCATTTAATACTGTTCTCAACAAGTACGATTTCCTGTAAATAAAAGCGCGAACAAGATTCGAAATGACACTAAAACTATTTGTTTTTACCATCATCAGTAAAAAAAAAGTCGACGTAATAGAATAAGGCTTTTTTATACCCTCTTTAATTGTGTCTTCCTTTTGTGTCTGTCAGTATTCTGTAATTTAGTGGTTATCGTTGGTTTTCGTATATTTGGTTTTCTCATCTGGATTGTTTCACATTTTGTCATTTGGGGGCTTTTATAACTGACTATACGGTATCGAGTTTTCTCATTGTTGAAGCCAGTAAGGTGACTTATAGTTGATTATACATGTATCTACGTCAACTTGAATCTGCATGGTGGATAGCTGTATCATTGGCAATCGTAACACATCTCTTTATTAACATATGTCTATACATAAATTTATGCAGCAAAATTAAGTACGAGGTGCAGATATCGTATACTATGTGTAAAACACCTTTTTGTTTTTATTTCTAGTGACGAACCCTGCTGGGAGACACGACCGTTTATGTCTCGTATAATATATACGACCTCGTGCGGCGTATGGGGTTGGGGAAGTTGTAACAGATACAGGTAGCAAGATTTTTATTTCAAATACAATATCATATATAAAAGACATTCATAACAAATACTATGCTTTCTACTAGTAAATATGTTTTACTTGATCTGCGAGTTTCAGAATGACAATAATTATAATTGCAATAATATGAGATTCTCTTTAATTAGTTTAGTAAATTAAAGCACAATTTGAATTTTAAAAAAGAAAATTAGGTTAAATTGATGTTAATAAAAAAATCACAAAAGTTCTTCTTTTGACAATATACACAGCATTGTTTTAAAGGATGTTATATTGTTGACACTTTGTTTGCTCTAGAACGATTACTAAGTACAGAAGAGTGTGTTGTATTGGATATGGAGGATCGGATTGTGAAGGTAACTATGTCGTGGTATCCATTAAACGTATTGAATAAAAAATAATCACAAAACTGTTTTACCTTCGTCATGATTGGGCCTTTTATAATAATCAGAAAGGATATATAGGTTTTTCTCATTGTTGAAGGCCGTACGGTGGCCTATAGCTGATAACTGCTATGTCATTTTGTTCCTGGTGAATAGTTATCTTATTAGCAACAAAGTATCATCAGAAACTATGCATAAATCAAAAATTGTAATATGGTATGCATTCTGATCTTAATTATCATTCTTTTTTTGGATAGTGTGTTTTCATTAGCTAATCATTAAGTACGAAGATTTAGATTTTCGACAAATTTTTAAATGTTTAGTTCCCATTGTTGTAGGTTTTTATATGGTATATTCTGCTAATGAAGTCCTTAATGAAGTAAAAAAGTAAAAAGAGAGTCGGAAGAGTTCCATATGACTGTAATATGTCATTGTGTTCATTTAGTATGGTGGGGTGTCATATGGAACACATACCGAATGTACAAAATAAGAGAAACAAAACAAAATAAATCGAACATATAACACCATAAAAGACAACTTGTACAAGCAACAGTAGATCAAACACTACACAGAAAACAAAAGTTTGAACAGGACAAACCCGTCGAATAGGTGGTGAACTCAGAAATTTCGTACTTCGTACTGTCTTCAGTAAACTGTTCGAATTGTTTATTAATATGCAAATAACAATAGAAGAAAATACCTACATTTTTTTTGCAGTTGACTTAAGAGCATCATGTTTTATTTAATAAAAACGCAAATTTTCATTTTATTTGCACATCACAAACTTTTATGAAGTCGACTTTCTAAGTTGAATTAATAACATATGAATATAACATACCTTTTACATACACTTATAACACAAAAACAAGACAGTGCGCGAGATACAAGAACAGCTTTAAACTTAGCCAAATAGAAATGGCCTACCCATGAAAAGACAGGAGTTAACTTTTGCACAATATGACCTTTGATTTCACTGTAATATGTCATTGTGTTCATTTAGTATGGTGGGGTGTCATATGGAACACATACCGAATGTACAAAATAAGAGAAACAAAACAAAATAAATCGAACATATAACACCATAAAAGACAACTTGTACAAGCAACAGTAGATCAAACACTACACAGAAAACAAAAGTTTGAACAGGACAAACCCGTCGAATAGGTGGTGAACTCAGAAATTTCGTACTTCGGAAGTGTAATCAGTTATTGCTCAACTACAGTGGCATCCGTCGTGTTGATTATGAAAAGCAAGAGTTCAGGATTTTGCCACTGCGATGAAAGCATAAAAAGCAAGTATATCCATGGAGGCTTGCCAAGTTTTGTTTTCATGAGCAATGTTCTTCTTCGTGACTTATCTTTGACAAATGTATTTATTTTCAACATAGGTTTAAAGAATTATAATAAACAATGTATATATGCGTTTGATGCTTCCTTGATTTTACAAAATATTTTGAAACAGTATGAAGTTTTTATTCACCCAGTTCTGCTTTCAAATACTATTTCGATTTCAATGGAAACGGATAAGTAGGTTTCAATTCATTCAGTTGGTTTCGCTACTTTTCAAGCATCTTGACTTATTCTCGACGAAATGTTATCTACAAATCATTTTGAACTATCCAATATGATTGATAAAAGTCTTATATAATTGATTTCTGGCAGTCAAAACGATTTTTTTTGCAATTTCTGTCTTCAGTAAACTGTCCGAATTGTTTATTAATATGCAAATAGCAATAGAAGAAAATACCTACATTTTTTTTTTGAAGTGACTAAGAGCATCATGTTTTGTTTAATAAAAACGCAAATTTTCATTTTATTTGCACATCACAAACTTTTATGAAGTCGACTTTCTAAGTTGAATTAATAACATATAAATATAACATACCTTTTACATACACTTATAACACAAAAACAAGACAGTGCGCGAGATACAAGAACAGCTTTAAACTTAGCCAAATAGAAATGGCATACCCATGAAAAGACAGGGGTTAACTTTTGGACAATATGACCTTTGATTTCAGCTTTGTCGTCACATAGAAAAAATTTCTAATGTGGTTCTTAAAAAGAGACTACAGATTAAACAAATCTCTTCATAAAAGTACATTATAGGCCCCGAGTCATCATATTTCCGGTCAGAATGAGAACGTTAAATGCGATGCCTCGTGTAGAGAAAGAATGCCACGCTTACTGCAAGTTAAGAATCCTTGCAACAACTCGTTGGGGGTTCCGTAAGTGGCCTCATTCAAGGTTAAATTTCAATCTCTACCCAATTCATCCTTATTATCCTGTGGTATTTTAAATAACCTTTCTGTTTTACCGGTCGATCACCTATGACAGGACCTGCCTATCGTATTTATTGTTAACTTGTTCTCGTCCTGAATATGCATGAAATATTTGCCACTGGACGTTAACCAACCAATAATCAATCAAAATGTTATAGCACAAAAAGGTACCAAGTTTTGTATTGAACCACACAACTTTTCAGGTTCAGGGTTGCGAACAAATTGAATTATGTTAAAATTGGTTACAAACTATGAGCAAATTGGACCAAAAATGACGTTAAGTAAAACATAATTATAGGGGTCTTAATTTCGTAAATTATGATCTAATTGGACAAAAAGAAGTTATTTGGAATAAATAGTTTTATCAGTATAAAAATAAGGAGATTTGGTACGATTGCCAATAACTATCCACCAAAGTTCAAATGAAGTGGATGTAAGCAATTATAGGCAACAAGGTAACCGTACGGTCTTCAACAATGAGGGAAAAAAACCAAAACCGTAAAGTCGGCTTTAAAAGATCCAGACTTGAAAATGTGAAACAATTTAAACGAAGAAAACTAACGGCCTAATTTATAACAAAACAATTAAAGAAAAATAGATGTATTCACTGAACTACAGGCTCCTGACATGTGACAGACACGTAAAGAATATGGCTGGGTTAAGCACGTTTATGACCGCTCAACCCTATCTTTACCTGCAGAAATATTACTAAAATGTATGTGAACATTTTGTAGTATTTTGCCCGATTAAAAAAAACTCATTAAAACCTAAGGGTAAAGTTTAATCCTTCGTAAACCAACTCCTTTAACATGTAATTATCTTATTGTGAAACAATGAATAACTTGGCAGAGCACTTTCTGATAAAAGTGCAACAAATGAAAGAACAAACACAGATACATGTACAATATCTTCATTGAGTATCGTTTTTATAGAAACAAATTATTTCAGTTGCCAAATAAAAGTAAAATACACATTCAATGAAATAAGCATTTTAAACAGCTTATATTAGCCTCGTGCACAAAATAACAAACACAATCTTTCACTGCTCAATGATGTTTTTTATTAACCCCCGAGAGAAAAATTTGAATCTTTTACAAATAATTAGAGATATGGATCATTTAAACGTCAAAAACGCAACAACCAAATAGGACATTAAAACAAACAAAAAGGACACATTCAGACAATATGTGCAGCTCCAAATCGTCACGAATCAAGTCTGCCACCAACTCCATCTTCTTAAAAAGGATAACAATATATAAACAGTCACTAGCGGCAAATACAGTATCATTCCAAATTTTCTGATGAAATGATATTTACTTACCCTAAGATATTTTCTTCTAAGTTTTATGCAGTAATACGACATTAACTAATCAAAATGGAGCTTGCAATGTTCACTATACGAATGACAGCGTACCCGACAGAAGTTCTTCAAATGAAGAGAGAAATAGTGGTGGAAAATGTGTTAGACCAAATGAATGTGCATGCTGCAACAAGGGATTTTATGCAGATTATAGTGACGGATACTGTAAAAGTGAGTCTTACTTATTTGACAATAGCTTTTTTTAAATTTTATTGACATATAGTTCTAAGCAATCTTCGTCAATTATCAAGATAATTTACAAACTCAGCTGTCTGGCATTCGGATCATTTTCCATTGATAATAGGACGAAACAAAACAAAAAAGAACATTGACATAGAGGGACGCAAAAACAAAATAAATAATCTCCTTTAAAGTAGTTTTCTGAATGTTCTTGTCCTTTCAATGACCGTAAAGTCACACGAAATGCTAATAATGTAGAAAACAGTAGTGAACAGAGCTATCATTATCGTATATATTATGTAATGACATATGATTTGATATAAACATTTTTGACTATCAGCGGTCAATCAACAAAGTGTGATCCATTAGCAACATATTCACCAATCTTACCTCGAATAACCATCCTGTAAAACCATCTGCATATAATTCCTTCTCCGCATACTGGCGTTCCTAATTTTATAAACCATTCAAGCCAATAGAATCTTGGACACACCAAAATGCAACCAATTTGAACTAACTGTTGTTTTTGGTTGATACAGTCTAACGTTAGATTATGTCAGTTTTTGTGGACTTCCCCCTTCTTGAATATACCTTTGAGTTTGGTATTTTTGTTATGCATTTTAAGTTATACTTTCAATATGACGTGTACATTGACTTTAACTAATAACTTTGCATTCGTGCTGCGAAGCAACAAAGATAGTTTGGTAAAAAGTTGAAACAGAAGTAGAAACAAATTATTGAGTATTATTGTAAATATGTAAGAGGTAGAACCTGTTTCTCTTGATTTTTTACGAACCCGTATAAAAATAAAGATGAACAAAATACATATGATATGGTAAGCTGTTAAAGACACAAATAACAGGAAAGTAAAAAATTTGAAATAAAATTGAGAATGGAAATGGGGAATATGTCAACGAGACAACAACCCGACCAAAGAGCAGACAACAGCTGAAGGCCACCAATGGGTCTTCAACGCAGCGAGAAAATCCCGCACCCGGAGGTGGTCCTCAGCTGGCCCCTTAAATAAAATTGTGTACTTGTTCAGTGAAAATGGACGTCACACTAAACTCCAAAACATATAAATGAACTAAAATTAAAAAACATACAAGACTAACTAAGGCCAGAGGCTCCTGACTTGGGACAGGCGCAAAAATGCGGCGAGGTTAAACATGTTTTGTGAGATCTCAACCCTCCCCTATATCTCTAGCCAATGTAGAATATAGAAACACATAGCAATACACACAGTAAAACTCAGTTTAAAAGAAGTCCGAGTCCGATGTCAGAATAGGTAACAAAAGAAACTAAGCAAAATAACAATGATACATAAATGAACAAAGGACTACTAGCAGTTACTGACATGCCAGCTCCAAACCTCAATTAAACTGATTGGAAAATTATGTCTTCATCATATGAAAATCAAGTACAATCCCTCCCGTAAGGGGTTTAGTATCATACCATCATAAAATATATGAGAAGAACATAACCCGTATCATGCCAATAACTGGTTTTAGAATAAATGTGTTTATTCCCGATGCAAAGACCCTATGAGTGACAGCCAATAAAATAAACCGTGAACATTAAATACAGGCAGCGGCACACAGAACGAGGAAATGTAAAGATGTCTACGTAAATAAATAAAAAAAGTGGTCATGACATTTCAACTTTTTCAGTATGCCCACATATACCAATGTGTGAATATAGAAGCTGTCACTCGCCTCATGGCTATGGAAACGAATGTGTATATTGTAAATACGAAAATGATAATATACGTTATCAAAGAGCATACAAGTACAACAATATATCCATTACATGTGAAAGTAAGTTGCAACATTACTATTTTACAAAGTAAATGAAATAATCAAATTAAATGTAGTTCATCAGAAGAAAAAAAAACTTATCATGAGCAAGATATATGAAACACCCATATTGTCACTTTGAAATTGTAAATGAGGGGAGAACTTGTAAGCCCCAACTAAATGAATAAATAAATAAAAAAAAACAATGCTCGACGATATATTAATCCTCCTTAGGGACCGGTCAAAATTTCTTGATGCATGGGACCGGTGCAAAAAGAAAATTGTCTGAAATAATTCTCTTGATCCCATGGTTACTGGCAGAATAAAAATATGCCTGTCCCATGCACTTTACCTAGTAAAAAAGTGTGTATCCCATGTTAAAGCACAAAAAATGTGGCTACATTTCATACTACAATGTATTTGGATAGCTGAAAAATAATGCTACTATGTGTGAACTGAATCTATATTGCTGTTATAAAGTAAACAAAACAATACATAAGCTTATTTTATTGCCAACACAGGAGCCCAAACAGATGACAATATGTTATTGACTATAATAAATGATACATGCAATATTAAACAATTAACATGTATGAAGTGTATGGTAGAATACATTTTTTTCAAAAAAATTGCAGCTTAATTTCTAAATTAACAGTGGGTAGGTAAATTCTGCTTTATGGGAGGACAGAATTATATTTGACAATCATGCTTTTTTGTGCAGAAACGCTATCCATGAATTCGTTTTTTTTACATTTGTTAAACAGTTATACATGTAAAATATCTAATCAAATTTTTACATATTTTTTTAATTTTATATCAAAGTATTTTATTATGTTTATTCTGTTCCAAAGTTTTTTTTTTGTTGCCTTCACTGTTCTTTAAGGGACTGGTCAATATTTATTGGGGGGTTGGGACCGGTGCAATTTATATTTCTCCCTTAAAAAAAGCTATGTCCTACCCTCTGAATATACCAAAAAAAGTTTTTGTCCTATATGAAATATCTACTAAATAAGTATATGTCCTATCTAATCTATGAATAAATCAAACAGACTATAGTTGTTAAATTCTGTGTCATTTTGTCTCTTGTGGAGAGTTGTCTCATTGGCAATCATACCACATCTTCTTTTTTATATTTAACTTCATTTTTATCAGATTAACATAGATCACATATAGTAGTCTTTGAATTTGTCTGGAATTTTAAATAATCTCCTCCTTGAAGAAGGCAAATAAGATTCCTTTTCAATTTCACTTTCACTTTCACTGCCACTACTACTACTATTACCAGAGACATATGTGTATATATGTCTCTGCTATTACTACTGTATTCATCATTTAGTATTATTATCATCATTGTCATTATCACTGTCAGAACTGTCATAGGCTCTTATTACAAGGTCATCTTCTTCATCACTTTGGATTTGTTCATTATCTACACTACAAACTGCTCAGAGTCTGAGAAGACCAGATTTTGTGCTCACATTTTACTTGACTAGTCTCGACATTGTCTCAACATGTTGATATATATTATATGAATATATCAAAAAGGGATCAAACATTAAAGAAATTACTAAAATTGTCCTTCTGATTAAAGTGGTGAAGTATAAAGCAATACCTCCTGCTTGGGGCAAAAAGATCACACCTACCAGAGAGTATTAAATTCTAAATAACATTCATTCAAAATTGCAACATCCTGTTAAACTTAAATCGCAAGGCCTTTTGAATTCACTAGATAAGTAGGTAAATGGACAGAAAGTCACAGGACAAAAAGTCACAAATTTGATAGGACAAAAAGTCACAAATAATATGCATACACTTGTTTGAATATTTTAGAGAAAGATCTTTAAATATTTACTTTTTATTACACATATTTATTTTACAGTTGAGAAAATTGTTCATTAGACTTGATAAATAAAGATTTATTAAATTTTAATCATGCAAAAGATATATTTCTTGGCACCATGAAGCCGTTTAAGTACCAACCCACTTTGACATTTTGTTTTCATAATTATTTGATCATTATAAATACTTTTTTTATATAAATTGTGTTTCCAAAGTTGCTTTATATACTAAAGTTCAAGAAAAGTACAAAAATGTTTTTTTTTAAATAAGTGTTTTCTTGTTAAATAAAAATAATCTCAAAACTGAATTGTGACTTTTTGTCCTGTGGCTTTTTGTCTGTGACTTTTTGTCCTGTGACTTTCTGTCCTACATTCGATAAGTAATACACGAGTTTAAGAAAAGTAGGGCTTTCTTTTTACCTGTAAAACACACATGTACTGATGTAATTAAACCTTATTAAAGTGCCTCCTGTATGCCATGTCTTTAAATCTGACAAACATTTATTTAAATTTGATTAAAATAAATTTTTACTGTAACTTTGGAACACATTTCCTTTTTTAAAAGGTTATCAAGGATTGTTATGAAAGTTCTATTATCATGATTATATTAAATTCTTGTTTTAACAAAACAAAGGTGTCATTTTTAAAATTTTATAACTTTTTCAAATCAGCTTGGATTTTCATCAAACTTTTCAGTATCTTTATTATATATTTATCTTACAAAATACCAGGTTGTTTTGTGTTTTGGTGTATTGTGTCAAATTTAAGGACTTAGTTAATAGGTAAAAAAAAGGCTAAAATTTTCAGTTTTGACAAAATTCAGATAGAAACCTATAATTTGAATATTTAAATTTGACAGCAATAAACCAAATTGCCAAATAACCTGTTTTTTTGTAAGATAAAAATATAATGAATATGTAGATTTGGATGAATTCAAAGTTAACTATCCAAATTTAGTCTGAACTGCAAATTCTAGCTTTTTTGAACTAGATTAATTTAATCCTTAAATTTGACAGCAATTACCCAAACTACATAACGACCTGGGATTCAGTAAGATCAGTATATAACTGAGATAGCTGTATAGTTTGATGAAAATCCAAGTTGATTTGAAAAAGTTATAAAAAATATTAAATTAAGTCCAAAATGCAAATTCTATCTTTTTTTACCTAGATTAATTTAATCCTTAAATTTGACAGCAATACAACAAACTACATAACGACCTGGGATTCAGTAAGATCAATATATAACTGAAAAAGCTGTATAGTTTGATGAAAATCCAAGTTGATTTGAAAAAGTTATAAAACAAATTAAAGTGTACTATCTGAATTGAGTCCAAACTGCAAATTCTAGATTTTTTTTACCTAGATTAATTTAATCCTTAAATTTGACAGCAATACCCCAAACTACATAACGACCTGGGATTCAGTAAGATCAGTATATAACTGAGATAGCTGTATAGTTTGATGAAAATCTAAGTTGATTTGAAAAAGTTGTAAAAAACATTAAAGTGTACTATCTGAATTTAGTCCAAAATGCAAATTCTACCTTTTTTTACCTAGATTAATTTTATCCTTAAATTTGACAGCAATACACCAAACTACATAACGACCTGGGATTCAGTAAGATCAATATATAACTAAGATAGCTGTATAGTTTGATGAAAATCCAAGTTGATTTGAAAAATTTATAAAAATAATTAAAGATGACTATCTGAATTTCATCAAATTTTTTTTACCTATTAATTTAATTCTTTAATTTCACAGCAATGAACCAAACTACCAAAAAAACTGGAATTTTAATAAATCTATATTTACTTTAGTCAGATGGACTGATTTACACCATATGTTACTTGTTTGTTCCTCAATTAATCTTGTTTATTTTGTTGTAATTAAATTGGTATAGACTATTTTCTACATTCATACATATACCATAACAATATTGCTGTCCTATCAGTGCTGAAAACTAAAAAAGTAGAAGTCCTATCAAAAATTAAGTTAAAAAATTGTGTGTCCTACTGCGTTTTGCACCGGTCCCAACCCCCCAATAAATATTGACCGGTCCCTAAATCTTGAAAATGAATTTGGTATGTTGTAACTGTTAAATTCACATTGCTAGATGTTCATGGTGTTATTTTTGTTTGTTATAGGTTTATCAAATAATTTGTTTTTCATATACAGACATTGTTTCAAAAAGTTTATGTCCCATGCTTGCCAATAATGAAAAAAACATTGAGTCTCATTCCTGTAAACACTGCAAAAAGTGCTTGTCCCATTACAGTTTGCACCGGTCCCATGCATCAAGAAATTTTGACCGGTCCCTTAAAGAGAAGCTGCTAAAAATCTCCTGCAGAAAAAAAAAAAACAAAACAAAAAGTAAAATATAAGAAGCAATATACATATCGTTTTATTTGTGAACGAAATGACGTGCAACAATAAGTGGGGAGAAACAATGTGTTGTTTTTAGCATAACTCTTTCGTACCATCGAGAGAGAATCAATTAATGAATTAAAAAACTGAGAGAAAACATATGCCACTAGGCCCCTGCTAAAATGTAAGGTGTTGATGTTGATTTGTTTCAAAAGAAAAAAAAGGAAAATATAAATCGGATTGATTATCAGTACTTCTAAGTTGATAAACAAAAGGTTTGACACTTTTTGCAAATATATAACAGAAATATGGATGAAATTAGAAAAGTGCAATACGCATCAAACTTCAGACTAACGAAAGTATTTAACACATTTGTCAAGTGCAGTATTGTTACAACAACTCACGTTGAAATACATTTTTTATTCAAATATTATAGACATCCGTTACTAAATATATATGAAAATTGTAACTCTTATGCATTTATTATCGTAAACAGAGACTTGTTCCTGGAGACCAGACAGTACTAGATGTTTTCCTGGTCATTGTTCGGACGAGTATGCAGATACATGTGTTTGTACAGAAGGTTTTGCTAGTCCATCAGAACATTGTAATGCAAGTAAGTAGGAGTTACAAGAGATAAGTGCTCAATTCAATGATAGAGGTATCTTGACCTTGCAGTAAAGTATGAGTTCTTCACCTTGTCGTTTGAAACCAACCCGTCTAACGAATAGGAAGAATATGCTAATTAATAAACGAACGTAATAAGACTACGTTATTGAAAGTATTTCGTTCGTATTTTCTACCTTAAATTATAGGTTTAGTCACTTTTTCTATTGATTGTCTGTGCCACAAAAATTATATGTAACACCCTATACATTTATTTTACAGTTTCAAAAGAAATCGATATACTCCATGCCCAAGTGATCTTCATGGACGCAGAAAACACAACGGTTTCATCTCCTGAAAATGCGAATATTCCTAGAAACGCTTCAAAGAAATGGACCAATAATAGACATTTGAAAACAATGGAATTTTCTCTAGGAGCAATTTACAATGCAACAGGAAATATACCAAAGTTTGGTGAATACACCGAAACAATAAATGGCGAAGACAAAATTGTGTCACATTATGTTACCGAATTTAAGTATGGTATTATAGCAGGCGGGATGAAAGCTATCTTAATTAGAGGTAAGATATGATCCTAAATTTGAAATGGAATGCTTTAAATGCAATAAATCAAGTATATAAAAATGAACAATACTGGTAGAACGTTTCAGTGAGAAGAAATTAGAAGGGATAAAAATTGCACGAATTTCAATATGTTAGATCATCCGAATGACCAATTCAGAACTGTTTTACAAAAGTTTTTGCCGTATAGTTACCATCACGAATTGATTGACCGATACGGTATGTCGGTATCTCAACTCACTAGTGACATGCTTTTGCGGTCTTATATATTTGGATACCAGTTTAGTCGTCTGATCTGAATTGTCTACGATGATGGCATTTTGTCTGAATAAGAATTTGCATGACGAGTGGTGCATGTAAAACAGGAGATGCTTACTCTGTCGACATAACCGTTCTAACTGCTCGTGGGAATACATGCAATTCCTTTTTTTATTTTTAAACTTGATCGGTCTCTTCGTAATCGGTTTATGAGATTTGAACAACAAAAATATCCAAGAATCATTGGTGACATAAACAGGTATTTTTTTTTTTTACGAAACACAAAATCTGGAGCAAAACACCGTTTGTATCTAGACCATTTTCGTTTTTGCTTAGTTGCGGCTTTGTCTCGTCGTAATCGGTTAATGAGATTTGAACATCGGTATGTTGCCTTCATTCACAACACAAATATCCAAGAATTATTGGTGACATAAACAGGTGTTTTTACAAAAACAGAATCAGGAAGCAAAACACCGTTTGTATCTTGACAATTCTTCATCTTTACTAAGTTGTGGCTCTATGCATAAATGATGAAGGTTTGTACTAAGTTGTGGCTCTATGCATAAATGATGAAGGTTTGTATATAGTATAGTTGTAGAATATCAGATCAATTTGCAAATATTCGTGTATAAAACTATATCTTAGGTTGAAAATTAAAATGGAAGGAACATATTTTTGTCAAGAAAATTTACAGTTACTGTCGACAAGTTAATTTTCAATTGATACTTTCACAAAATCGAAATGTACAGACGTAATAATGTCATCACAACTTTACTAAGTAGTTATTTCTTTTAAAAAATGATAATAATATAAAAGAATGTATTATGCTTAACTGTGTTTTTTTTAGATAATTGAATATTTAAATATCAACTCGGACAACGTTGGACGATAAAGGATTGCCTATCAAATAGCTTATAGTCTCTTTGTCATTATTTAATTTAATGTAGGTAAAAATGATGTTAATTAAATCTATTGTTTCAATTGAAATCTTTAAAAAATAAACTATAGAAAATAGAAGATTTTTTACACAGTTTACAGTAAAATTTGTACACTCACGATAGAAATTATTATGTTTATTATGACGTACTATTTTTGTCGTCTTAAATTGATGAATTGTTTGATGAACTGCTCATTGTTTAGTCTGATTACATTATCATCTATTGTACAGTGTACATTTATTTCAGACAATATTACAACTGTATCCCTTTTCAATGAAAATTGCAAGAAAAACATAAAAAGAACTTCGCCTTTCCCAGTCAAGTCAGAGTTTCACTGTCAAAGAAATTTAAAATTTGTAGATCAGTTTCGACACAATGACGAGTAAGTACCATGCAAAGTATTCATATAGGATTATACAATTTCTGTATTCAAGGCTTTATAAAATAACAATATGTGGTATTATGATTGCCAATAAAAAAACTACCAGGTATCTAAAAGAGTCCAAAATGAAGCAGGTTTCAGGTACTGAAGGTCATTGTACGAACTTCAAGAATGATCAAAACCCATACAGTATAGTCCGCTATAAAAGGCCCCAACATGACAAAATGTGAAAGAATTCAAACGAAAACACCAGCTGCCTGATTTATAACAAAACAAAAAACAAACCCAAATATGATCGAGTCCAACCAGTGACAACAACTGCATATACTTTCTCAAAGACGCTAGTTATATTTTGTAGCGAATAGTAAGCATTTTGATAAACACAATCATAACGAACGATAATTTCAGACGAAATATACTGTACCCGCATTGTCCTTACGTTCGTCCAACAAACATTTTATTCACATTTTTCTCAGAAACTACTGAACAGAATAATCAGGAAATTGACAGGGGAAAGTTGGATAATGTCAATTTGTAGGTTAACTATATCAGTTGAACTCGAAAATGGAGGATATTTGGTTTACGAGAACAGAGATAACAGGCACAGTTACAAAATTGAAGGAAAGTGGCCTACACACTCAGTCAATTTGAAGGGAATCAAAACAGTTGAATCTTATGAATTTCACTGGGATACAGAGCTTCCATACTTTTCTTGCATTGCATCGTTTTGTGATTCTCTACCTATCTACGTACCTGATACATCCAAATCTGTACGTCTAATTCTATAAGCAACATCAAACTCTTAACTAATCTAGAAATGGTTTTCATGAATGCAAATATTGATTTGATTTGAAATTCTTTTCTGCCACAATTATTAGACTTTTTCAACTTACATCTTTGACCAATAGGTTTTTTCTCTGTCGGTTATTACTATTTGCTTCTTTCTTAAACTATTCATTATTTCATAATGATATAAAAGATTCCGCAATATTTAATCGTTGAACTGTGTTACTAATGCAACATACACTGTTGAGACCAAAAATACGATCAAATTCGTTCAGGGTTTCCCCAATCTCTTCCGATGCTAGTAGTTATGAGATTTATTTTTTACATCATCACAATATAGAAAAAACAAAATAAATAAATGTTTGTTAATTAAAAGCAAAATCATTTTGAAACAAAATTACTACACAAATATCATCATCATCAGTATTTTTTCTTGCTAATTGCAGCGTTTTATAGATATCTATTGGATCGATTGGTCAGATGATCTTTCTGGAATAGACTACTATGATATTGAAGTATTTGAATTTGAAACTGCCAGACAAAATGAAATAAAAGAAAATGCGGCACCAATCATGCATGTCAAAGGGATTATAGGTCAATCGGTATGTCTAAATAGTTTTAAATGATTCATAGTAAAGAAAACAATTTGCCTTTAATACAAATTGCCGATTTTGGTTTTTGGTTTTTTGATCTTCTCAAGCTATTCTCAACTGTTGGTCGCTTCTTTTTGCAATGTAGTAGATTTAACTGTAAAAAAGAAAATAAACTTTACAGAAAGTTTTCAATTTGCCTTCATAAATATTGTCAATTAAAAACATACGAAATGGGCTAAAACCTAAGCGGGAGATCTAAGATATAGTTCCTCGTTGATTGATGTGTATTTGGACAGTGTTTATGTAATTTTAGCTTTTAATATCTGTAACATAGATTTTAAATAAAAGGCATTTGGAAAAAATAATAACTTCTATTTAGTTAGACAAACAATACAAAAACAACCGATCGTTATGTTTCAGTAATTAGGTACAAGCATACAAGCTTTTAAAACATCGACACACCCAAACACGGCTAAAAACATAACACAACAATGATAATATTAAAATCAATTGAGTCGTTAGTCGTATCCTTATTCTAGATAAAAAGAGAGGTGTCACTAAGACTGTTTTAAGTTGACTGTACGGTATGGGTTTTGTTCAATATTGAATACCTAAGGGTTACATATAAATGCTTTAATCCACGTCATTTGAGCGCTTGTGGATAATGGCAATCATACTACATCTTTTTATTTTTTATATCAAAACTGCTATGAAACATTTTTTACCAGGTTTCCACTATGAAAACTAACTCATTTTTTGTTTTGTCTTTCTATCCATGACACCTGCTGACAACTTACAACCGTAAAGATACTGATACGCTTAAATTTATTTTCAAAACTGTTCTCTATTGATTTTTCATTGAGGTATCGAATACACTCCTTTGAGGGTAAGTTGGTTTCATTTGACAGTTATGTTTCTATTCGATGGTATTACTACCCTCGCAAAAACACTTACTTCACCTGCAAAGCAATGGTAATCATTAGTTCCTAAATGTAAACATTTATATAGATTTGTTCAAGAAGTATAAAATATTGTCCAGTAACCCGTACCCAAAATACCCCATCTTTTCTTATTGCAAATTGTGTCTTTGCTGCTGTAATTTGCTGTTTATAACGGAATGTCATAAGGATTCAACAGAAACACTACCCGATTCATATTTCTAGCAATACATACATACGTTTAGACGGCAAATACTTTCTAAAAATGATGCATATGATACAATGAATTTATCCACCGCCAATAACAAGGATACTCCTTTTATCATCATTTTATATTGATCTATTACGAGTTTCGGGAGCCTCGTTGTCCGAGAGGTCTAAAGTGTTCATCTAGTGTATCAATTGCCTGTCAACACTGAGGCTGTGAGTTCAAATACCGTACTTGTTTAAGATCGGTGGTTCTCACCTGGCACTCCGGCTTCCTCTACAAATAACAACAATTACTGCCCGATACAGCCAAGAGTGCTGAAAGTGGAGTAAAACACCAACAATCAATCAATCAATTATGAGTTTTGATTTATTTTACATGTACTAGAACACACCCGCGACATTGCTGGTCCTTGATTAAACCAAAGTACCTGTGCCTTATTTTTAGTCTGGACTTTTAGTATTCATATTAACATCTGATAAAGTCATGCTGAATGTAACGTGTATAGTTTTCTCTGCTTTTAAAATCTTTGTTTGAACCCGACCTTGTTTTCTTACTACAATTAACTTACTATAAACTTAATTTAATTTGTTAACTAATTAAACAAAATTAATAGTGGTATTGACGTGGAAGAAAACAGACTTGGTAAATAGTGAACATAGATATAAAACAACTACTGGAAGAATGTCGGATTCTCCTGATAGAGGAGGGATTTACAGAAGGTAATAGGTAACTACAACAAAACAACCGGAAACTACATGTGACATATACTATTGGCATTGGTATCTGATTCACACCGGAACTTTCTAATTATTGATGATATTAATTATGTGGAAAACAAAAGCTCCTGGAGTGGTGTAATTTTTAAACAACGCCATTGTCCTATATTAGATATATATAAAGTTGAAATCTTTGATTCGTCGTTTTAACGTCATGACGGCTAACAAATTGGACCTCGTTATTTTAGTAATATAGATATGTTGTACCCTTAAAGATTATATTTGCTAAATTTGAAAGTTTTGGTTTTTAGCTTTGGTTAATTATCAAGCAGTAAATCAGTATTTTGCAATCATATTTAATACCCCTCATCTTCATTAATTCATTTATATTTATATTTTTCAGAGTAGAATAGAAATGGGGAAGCCAGGAATGTATTCTATTCATTTTAGAAGCTATGACAGGGCGGGAAATTATGAGACTGCAAGAGCCCTTTTTCTGTACGACAACAACGATATAATCGATAATGGCAAAGGAAATACAGAAGTTGAAAATACAATACATTACCTTGGGAAAAGATGGATAACCAATTCAAGTCCTCTCATAGAAGTGGCATGGAGGGACACATTTGTGAAAACCAATCACGTAAAATACAATTGGCTTGCAAATGTTCAATCATATCCAAACATTTTATCGATATACGATGACAATGGCGGTAAACGTACTGTAAAAAGTGTTCCGAATGTAAAAGGTAATAAATGTATTTTTACTGGTTAAACTAAAGAATATTATAAATCAAGGCGACAGTAGTTTACCAATGTTCGAATCTGTAAATCGATTAAAAAAATACAAATCAAGATAACAAACACAAACTGAGGGAATCGTATGAAATCCAAAAGGAGCGAGATCGTGTGCGTCGAAAGGGTAAGGGCATCCTGCAATGCATGCATCACTCTAAATGCGAATTCACACTCCGTCAAACTTACACAATCAAGAATAGGACGCAATCGGTTACACTACAGATCAGACAACTTTCCTGGTATCTAAAGATTTAAGATTTAAAACATGTTGCTAGTAAGTTGAGACACCGACACATCATATAGGTCAGTCAATTCGTGATGGTGATCGTGAAATTAATGTAATGTCGATTTTGATAATTTTTCATCAGAACTCTTTTGGCTCAGTTTAAATTAAAAGGAACACACTCCTGTTAATGAAGTCAGAAAAGTGTGAACATTCATGAGTGCAACGTATTTACTAAGCTATATAAACGCTATACGTCGAAGTAGAGATTATGGTTTTACTGGAAGATGGAAAATTGACAATTGGAAAGTTTAAATAATCACCAATTAGACCGATCTCCTACTTTGAATATAGTATCTTTAATCTCAAGTTCACTGGGATTTATTAGCTGTAGATACTCTTGTCTTTTTGAGAAGGATCTGTATGAATTCTGCTTTATATGAGTATAAAAACAAGTCGGCCAGTAGTGGTGCACAGTGAGTATTCATTGCAAAACCGATTGTCTGCAGAAATATCAATCCTCCAACTCGACAAATATGTTGTCGATTAAACATGCAGCATTTTGTTGATGTCACCTTAAGTGTATTTGCTGTGGGAATCATTTTGGTTCTTTACAAAGTAACGTTTTTCATGACCTAAGACAGTAGATTAGATAATGTGTAAATATGTTTTTACTGATATAAATGAACCTCAAAAACACACATGATAGTTTTGTGAATACAATCATTTTTAAGTGCGATTTACAACGTAATATGACTAAGAAGTAAAGAAGAGGTCAAAAACCAAAGCTATAAATTACCCTGCTAATCACATGTTATAGTTTAACAACACAGGCTTTATGCAAGTATTTTGCAACATGTGATTGTGCCAAATATCATTTGCACATATGAAACATATTTATCGAGAAAACCTTAATATTGATTTGATTAAAAGACATCATAAAACACGTAAAATTATCTAGAAAAATAATGTCAGTTATTTGAATTGCAACATTTCCTAATAATCTTCATCTTTGAAATAGGTATTGTCAAGTTTGAAATTGCCCATGATGTTTATGGAATCGATCTCAAATCGTTTTCCCCTTTTACGCATGTATCAAATGTGTATGAGGAATTTGCTGTTCAAAATGTAACGTGGGATGACGGGGACCAACTTATTACAACAATAAGAGCATTTGATATTCTGGATAACTACAGAGATGAGAAGATAATCACTTACAAAGATTCAACACCACCGATTATTTCTAATTTATGGCTCACTAAAGGAGATCGGATTAACACTGCCATCCACAGCTTTGAAGAATTAAATGAAATGACGTAAGAACATAAAGAGTAAATATACGGTTAGGCCGAATACTATTTTAGCAATTAGTTTAGGAACGTGATTATTATTATATCATGTCTGACTACTAACATGTTTTTAACACGAAAAAATCAAAACTCGAGAGGAGAAAAAAATTATTTCAATTGCTACCATAAACCAATTTTTTTCTCTGGTGGAAAGTTGTCCCATTGGTAATCATACAGCATCTCCTTATTCTATATTTAGTCTAGTATACAGGATTCATTTATTAGTTTTGAACACACCGTTAGTAACTGCGAGTTGTCTTAGGTCAGTACTTTGCCTTTTTAATCTTTATATTAGTGGATTATGTGCTAATGCTTTATTATTGTCCTTTTGGTATCTTTTACCTCTATTTTGTTTGTATGAAGTTCAGGTAAATACATTACTTGTTCTTGATTAAAAATCTAAAGGAAATTCAATATGTTGTTTTTTGTTTAAGTAGATATAAACCATGTTTTGTAACTCTTTTAATGCGTCTACTTTGTTACAGATAAAATTGAGAATGGAAATGGGGAATATGTCAAAGAGACAACAACCCGGTCAAAGAGCAGATAACAGCCGAAGGCCACTAATGGGTCTACAACGCAGCGAGAAAATCCCGCACGCGGAGGTGGTCCTCAGCTGGCCCCTAAATAAAAATGTGTACTAGTTCAGTGAAAACGGACGTTATACTAAACTCCAAAACATATCAATGAACTAAAATTAAAATACATACAGAAATAACAAAGGCCAGTGGCTCCTGACTTGGGACAGGCGCAAAAATGCGGCGGGGTTAAACATGTTTTGTGAGATCTCAACCCTCCCCCTATACCTCTAGCCAATGTAAAATAAAGAAACACACAGCGATACGCACAGTAAAACTCAGTTTAAAAGAAGTCGAATCCGATGTCAGAATAGGTAACAAAAGAAACTAAGCAAAATGACAATGATACATAAATTTACAAATTAAACCATTATTGTGTCTGTTAAATAGAATTTACAAAATAAATTTGATGTAATTATTCATTGTTGTAAATTTTCGAATTCATATATAGTAAGCTGCAATTTTCTTGTTAGAAAATGTGTCTTTTTTATATATCTAACGTTTGTCATATTGTATTTTAACATACACATGCCAACTTCGTTTGTCGCTTGTGTTTTAGGATTGAATGGGATGCCTATGATTATCATAGTGGAATAAGTCATTTAAAATGGAGGTTGTATAGTAACTACAGTGGGACTAATATCATTCACGGAGAAATAGACTTACCAAGTCAAGGTGAAACACAGGTGATAATGCAGTACACTGATTTACGGACACGCAACACTTATTTCCGCAAAAGTTACTTGTAATGGACGTTAGTGAATATGAATTTTAAATTTGGGCTCAACCTGATGATTTTTACAGAGTGCAGTCCGAAAACTTCTGTTGGCCGTCTTGCAAAACTTGTATGTTTACATGTTCACCAATTTAATATAATTATAAATGTATATTATAAAACTGCAAGAATTTCATATAAAAAATGAAAATTTATATTTTTCAGAACAAGTCTTAAAGTAAAAATCCTGGCCAACTTTTGTCCTTAAAAATATTATTATGCAGTGTTAGCGTCATCTCAATATGCGATGCAAGAATTGATGAAAATCATGTTACCAATTTAAAAAAAGAATAAAAGCAAGTAATACTCAATGGAAAATAGGCAAGCACATTTCAATTTTGCATTTAGTATTCATATTCAAATGTTCATTTTTCAGACTTTGGAAGAATGTGCAGAGAAATACAATAACAATAGGGGACCGGCTTGTTACTGTACAAATTACACTGGTTGTTACCACAAACACTTTAATATCAAGCCTAATATGGTAGTAGGCAAAGGCAATGGGATAGTCCATAATAGATCAATGGGAGAACACGATTTGGATTATTTTATTGATGTAAATGTGACAAATATGGCAACATTGATTTCACTAAGGACTATAAAAGTAGGTACCATTTTACTAATCATTCAATTACAAAAAAATTCTTTGTCTGTCCGTAACTTTTGTTATCAATTGTCATGAGCAACATTATTACGAAATGACTTGATATTTGTCTTGAACTTTATAATGCCTAGTTGAAACCAGTTACGGTTTTTTAGATTTGACTGTCAGCATCTGCCTGTGTTATAATACTTTGAATATTTAGTTTACCCACCGGTCAGTATGAAATTTTCGCCAACGGCTATTAAAAGTCGGGATATATTTATCGCAACATCTCGTTCCACCTAGAGTTAGCTTTGGTGTTCCCTTTTCGCAAAATAATATGTGGTTGAAACATTGGTGGTTCGTTAAGTGTAACAAATATATTTTTCTACTTTTATATTTGTTTAACCAGCAAATTGAATACAGACCTACAAACTTGAAAGCATTGCAAAATTGATATGAAAATTGCTTGCCTGAGAGTTGATAAGTTCCAAAACGAAAGCAGAATTATAAACTACGAAAATATAAAGAACAATGCATATGCACGGCTTGAACTGATATTAGTAATTGAGAAATATTATATTCAATAAGAGCAAAAAAAAAAAAAAAAAAAAAGGGTTCTGATTTTTAATCAAATAAAGTGAATTATAGATTTTGGACTATTACAGTTCGTTACGTACTTGAGTTTATTTCAGATCACTCTTGATATCACCCCTCCAGTGGTTGGACATGTACACGATGGGATGTATGGAAGTCCAGAAGTCGATTTCCAACAGGACTTGTGGCTTGATGCTCATTGGGAAGGATTTTTCGATCATGAAAGTGGTGTTGCATTTTATCAGTACGAGTTTTCAGATGCTTGTCTTACTGAAGAACATTTTCAACGTAAATCTTTGGTGCGTTTTTTAAAAGTAAAGTATAGCATTTAAAAAAAATCTTGTGATTGAAATTTTGTTATAGGCTGTTTAACAGAAATTCGAAATTTTTGTAATTTTACTCTTATAGGTTTTTCAGATGATATCAGAAAGTAAAATAATAAAAATACCGGACTCGAAGGAAAACTCAAAACTGAAAGTTCCTTATCAAATGACAAAATCAAAAGCTCAAACACATCAAACGAATGGAAAGCAACTGTCATATTCCTGACTTGGTACAGTCAAACCCAAATAATCAAATGTTACACAAAATAAAATTAGACAAATTACATAACACAGTAGTTCAAATTTATTAAATCTTATCATCAAAATAAACAATAGCATTGGACACAGTGAATAGTTTTAAACAAAGTAGAAACAATTGAAAATCTTGAGGTCAACACCAAACTCCAAATACCCATATACACAAAGAGGCAGTAGATCAGTCAAACAATATTTTATATTATGACCGCTTCAACATGTTATTTTTAGATTAACGACACCTATGATACATTTGCAACGCATACTGCATCAAGTCCTGGGACCTACTACGTCACAGTGGTTGCATACAATAAAGCCTTTCATATGTCTAAACCTGTTTGCTCAGATGGTATAACTATTACACACACAGTTCCTTCAGTTAAAAATGTAATTATAATGAATGCAAGGACAAAACCGCGTTTGATAAGAGACGTTGATGGCCATGAATGGTATATAGATCAAAACCTTCAGCGGCATAATTTGGAAAATAGTACAAGCAAATGCAAGTATGTATTGATAAAATAAATTTGAATAAATATAAATAGATAAAAAAAAAAAAAAAAAAAAAATTAAAAAATTAAAAAAAAAAACGGATAGTTAATAAATCAATGGATAAACATACATGAAGAAAATCTGACAACGCCATTGTAAATCGACGAAAACGACAAACATGTCCACATATTATGAAACAAGCAAAGCCTTTTATTCCAAATAAAAAATGAATATTGTAAGATGTGTTATTGCATGCCCAGCACCATTACACAGTTGAAAGGGTTGACAACCAAAATTGCCAAAAGGTGTGTCGAATGAGACTGAGGCCATAAAAAATGATACAAAACCTTAGTGTTTTTTTTTTTTTATTTTACTACATTTATTGACTGTACATTTTCAAGAAATGAAAGTTGACTACTGGGCCAAACCTACAAACTATTTATGTCGTACTGATGTAAAACCTAAATCTTTTTTTTATCATGTAAATAATAAGAAAATGAGTTTAAAGACAAAAATATCGTCTGATTTTGTATGAAGCAATACCTGTTTCTTGAATATGTTATAACTTAGGTATAGTTTTGCTCATTATTTGTTTAAAGGTTTTCAGAACCGCTGACCGAAAGCATTGAAATATTCCCAACATCACAAACATCAGTTAATGCTGACAATGTTTGCACGAAGACCAATTCGTTTTCCACATTAGTTACTCGAGTAATTCCTAAAATACATATGGTATGTATTCTTTCCATTATAATTTTCTTCGCATAAAGAATTAATACACGAAGGAGAGTTTTATTTCATGCAGGTCACGAAAAATGCAAGCAAATTAGAAAATCCTGCAATAGCTGCTTTGTCGTTTTATATAATGTGCTCATTAACATAATAGTAACTTACTATTTTTTACATTACTGTGAAAGAAACTATTAGTGAAAAAGTTACACTATGGTTGATCATAGTAATAATGCTTAAATGGACAAATATTAAACTAGTTACATGTTGTGAATTCAAAGGTAATATTATATTTTTATGTTATTCCCTTTAGCATATAAGGCATGCATATGTTTCAGTTAAACATAACATGGGTACCAAATGTTGATACTTCGCTAATTGATGATTATGAAGTTGGATTTTCGACAGTTTCGGGGAGCGATGCACCTGATTTAATGGCTTTCCAGTCGTCTAAACACCACAGCCACATCTTAATAGATCACTTTGGAGTGCCAGAAGGAAAGTTGTTCTATATCATTATAAAGTCTATTAGCAAATCTAATGTCATAGGTTCTCAGGTGAGCCAATACTTGAATCATAAACACCATTTTGTCCTTCTGATTTTAGACGTATTAATAGGTAAAACAATGTTGAAAAGAAAATATTCTTCGAGTTAATGTTATGGAAAATAATAAAAGTTATCACAACATTTTCTTCTAATTCAAAATATACAGAAATTCAAATAGATGAGTATTTATCTTGTCATTTGGCGCAGCAACTTTTAAAAGAATAAACGAATTCTCAGAAGTCATACATGTAGAATAATAGGTGACTTAACGAAGGAAAATTTTAATTTAATCGCCGCCAAATTTGCCATTTTCACTTGCAATCATGTTTAAAGGGTTTTTATGTTGCCTGTTGTAAGGCTACATATTTGCCAAAATGCAGTATACCATCTTTTTTTAAGTTGCAATCTAAAATTTCTACCTTTCTCCTTTTTTGTTGATTTGTTCATGTTCTGCGTATTACTATTACAATTGCAACTTTACTTCAAGCAAATGTAAACGACTAGGTATTGATTATTTTCAGAACGTTGGTCCGTTCATACTTGACACAACACCACCTCAGTTTGTTGAATCATATATCGATTTGTATCTGTCTGGAAATTACCTTGTTGCAAATTGGTCTGCTGCGAGTTTCACAGATAGTGATAACCCGTTTTTGCTTGACTATGAATTTGCCATAGGTAAATATTATTAAGAGATATACTGTTTTACAAACGAACTATTTTACAAACGAGCTTTTTTTTAACTTACTTAGACCAAACGTTTTAAAATCCAAATACATAAAAGAAGTTGTTTTAAGCATCAAACCTAAGAACAGAACCACCACAATATTTTAAAATAAACCTTGCACTGACGCTACTAGGGGGTTGTATTCTCAGGGACTTTGTACATTCTATCAGTAGAGGTTCTGACAACGTGGAAGTAGTAAAATAGTAAAAGTCCATCATACCAATTTCTTTGCAGGAAAAAGGAATAAAAGAATAATTGGTTAGTGCATAAATATTATTAATCAATCAAATACTTCTGTGTATGATTAAGCACGCATTGTTTTCACAGCGCCTTATATCACGAAATTTGAATTATGGTGACATTTGCCTTTGTTTACATTAGTAAATTAAACCGGATATCAATATATTTTAGTACTTTACATTTAAAAATCTTTAAAATATTATTTTATATCATGATTTAATAATCTAGCAAAGGAACGGGTTAACAAATAATTTTTTACAGGACACGAACCGTATTCTACAGACCTACGACAGTACTCTATAGTGACAGAAAAGGGACCCTGTTTTCGGTCATCGAATTATAAATGTACTGCAACTAATGTATCTGAACTAGACTGGAAGTTACATGGTCATCATACGTATTACGTGACAATCAAGGCCACAAATTTGGCTGGTTTGTTCGTCTTAAAAGCATCTGTCCCTTACAGTCATGATATAGTTTTACCTAGTAAAGGTATTGTTATCGATGTTCCATGGAATTCGACAGCATTTATCCCAATCAAGGTATACAGTTTGATAGTAAAATTATTTTTTTGAATTTTAGGCCCTTTATTCATCTGTGCATATCGAACAATAACCCCAAAATGTCATAATACAAACGCGTACAAGAAGTCTCAAGAATTATGAAGAAGAGATTTGTACTGTTATCTTATTGATTTGAAGCTTTTATCAATTCCTATTCGCAAAAGCGGTTGCTTCCCTCTAAACAAAAATTCTCACAGACTCATTCTGATTTTGTTAAATGAAATTAAGGTTAAATCATATACCTAAAATATATGTATTAAAATAAATAAAAGCAAAACTTAAACTAGATCTAATATTATTAACTTTCGTGTTACTTTATAGTCAAATCTGATTGAATTCAAATTTTCAAAAGAGACAAACTCGTTCGTATGTGTGAGTAAAACACATAGTAGATGCAATTATTGTCTTGTTTGGAAGACAAACTTTTTAATATTTGATAAGAAATATTTTATTGAAACTTCTGAATTAAAATATAGATAAAAGAACAAGAGCCTGTAATTCACTAGTTGTCATTTGTTGCTGTATATCATATTTGTTTTTCGTTCATTATTTTGTACATAAATCAGGCCGTTAGTTTTCTCGTTTGAATTGTTTTACATTAGTCATTTCCGGGCCTTTTGTACCTGACTATGAGGTATGGGTTTTACTCATTGTTGAAGACTGGACGATGACCTATAGTTGTTAATGTCTGTGTCAGTTGGTCTCCAGTGGAGAGTTGTCTCAATGGCAATCATTCCACATCGTCTTTTTTTTTATATAATTGGATTTTTTTTATATCGTATTTCAATAAACTGACACAGAAAAAGCAAAAGTGGATGAAGGGCAGGATTAAGTACTGAAAACAATAATTATTTCTCTTCACATCACTTAGCTAACATATATTGGTAATTTGTCCTTATACTACCAGTATTGGTGGAACATGCATTGCAGGAATTGAAAATTGATGAATTTGTTTATATACACTTTAATATGCATATATTAATAAGGTAAAACATTAAACTTCAGTACACATCCATTATTTCTAGATCTATATTTAAGCCATTTTTCAGGACATAGAAGACATCGACTTTAATGCCATTACAGAAAATCTAGCTGTACGTTGGACGAAGTTTTATCATCCACATTTGAATTTAACATATGATGCCTGTGTAGGAACTGCTTCAGGCTTGTGTGATGTTGCTGAAAAGAGGAAAATAACGACCAGTATTAACTTTTACTTTTTCCTTGGACTAACGATTCATCCATTTCAAGTATGTGTTGAAAGCTTACTTTGCTTCAAGATTGCAATCTCTAATAAATTATGTTTCAAATAACAATAAATTAGAAAGCATTTCGAATATATATTTGCAGCAGGAGATGATTTTGTTCATATATCACATTTTAAAATTGATGTTTCCGAAATACTTATAAAAAATAATAAGTACTCATTATTAATGCACCGACGATTAAGTTTAACTAGGGATGACCAGAATATTGACGAACGAACGTACGAAAGCGTAACATGACGAATTGTACGAAACGGGAGCTGCTGTTTATACATAGTACACTAAAAACATAAATCTAACAAAAAAACGCATGTTGAAGTTAAGTAATTCGCATCTTCTGTATTAAGTTTACATGAGATATTTCCTGTCTCTGTATAGCTAACTCCTCACGTTGAATTGATGATTAATAATGTAATGTTTTTTCCAATAGAAAAAGGTGCATTCGATATACAAGACTCTGTTTTGACAATGAGGTTCCAAAAGGAATTTAAATGAGTTACGGAGTTAATACAAGGGTGATAGCATAGATATTGACGCTTTTTATATTGATATGATTGATGATCAATTTCAAATCAGTTTTTTTTTACTTATTTTAGTTAGCTTATGCCCCCAGACCAATCGAATTAGGCTGGATGTAGAGAATCTCTGCCCAAATTTAAAAAAAAATGTGTAGACAAAAGAGTTTTTTACGAATATTTTGTGATAAAAAGTTGATACTTCTAAAGAAATTGAAGTTAAGTATATTGATATATTGATAATCAAATTGGAGTTGCAACTCGGCTATTGCATTTTCTATGCTCATTACATTTTCTTATTGCAAATTTATACTAAAATCAACGAGTTTACAGACCGAAAACAACAACAGACTCGTGTAAAAACGCTCTAATTATCCAACAGACCGCGTCACATGAGTTGCATACTGGTTAGGGTCCAACTTTCTTGGTAAAAATGAATATTACTCTAGGAAAGTTGGAACAGATCATCCTACTCACGCGTACACATTGATATAAAGTACGTTTCACCTTGCTGAGTATCACATTATGGTAAAATCTGATAAGATAAGGAGAATATCATTTTGAAATTTTGATTTAAACATACTTACGGCAACTAATTTTTGTGACATGTTTCCAACTACTGTGGCTTGTTCTCTACTCATGTTGAAATTGGGACAAAGCTTAAGTTTTTGATAGGTACAAAATAACTTATTTGCCAGTGCTTTCATGTTAACTGTTTTCTACACTATACCATTAGGTATATAACTAGCAGAAATCGTTTCTACATTCTAAAAGTTAATAAAAAAAGACCTATAGGTTTATTATTGGGAGGACAGAAATACCCTATTATTCCACGTGAGCTTAACAAAACGGAAAGGCACTATATCAACATTCAGAAATAAAAAAAGGTTGACGTACCATCATCTAAATAATATTTATTACCGATCATATCATTTGCCTTCTGGGTATTTTGTGAAGTCAATGAAACTTGAAAAACTTAAATAATTGAAACGTATTTCAACAATCGCAAAAAACAAACATGTCAGAGGATGCCATGAGTATGTGCATATTGGAGAGGATTATAATTTATATAGTTGTAAGTATTTAAAGTTGTCTTCTTGTGCGTTATAAATGGACCCTTGTGTCAATTTAAATCCCTTCTAAAAAACGTTATTTACTCTCATGACTAGTTTTTTTTTTTTAAATCTAATAAGTTTTGCCAAGGGACCAAAATATAGAATTCCCCAGCCCATCAACTGGAAAAAGAACTTCAAGTTACTGATGGATGCAGTTGAGGACTATGCAAGAAAATGTGTAAAGCGCGAACCAGACGAACCAGAACTGGACACTTTGTCTAAATGGATCAAAGCTATTCGATCATGCATTCAGAAGCGCATTCAAAAACTACGATGTACTATGAGCACAAGAGTTACTAACCCTTTCAAGAATCCGGATGTTGTGGATGCTTTATCCTCTTTGCATGACAAATATGTCGTTGTTCCAGCAGATAAAGCCTCCAATAATATTGTCTTCATATGTAAAAACCATTATTTGCAATGTCTCACAACAGAGCTTGGAATAAATGGAACTACTGGTAATCGTACATATTCTTTAACATCATTTACCAAGGACGAAATTTTACAAAATCACAAATCTGTCCTTCTTTCTTTTGGTATCAACATCAAAGAAAACGAAGAAATTTGACCATCATTATACTGGATACCAAAACTTCACAAGACTCCATATAAAGAACGATACATAGCTGGGTCATCAAAATGTTCGACTAAACATCTTTCTAAAGTACTGACTACTATTCTTTCTACAGTTAAAGATGGGCTTCAAAAATATTGTGATGAGATATATTTTACCAGTGGTGTTAACCAGATGAGGATTCTCAAAAATTCGAAAGATCTACTGCTTAATCCTGGATCACAATCTTTGCAATTTTGCAGCAACATTAAGACTTGATTTTTCTACGCTTTACACTACTATTCCCCATGCTCAGTTGAAAGATCGACTTCACCATCTTAAACAGAGCTTTTTCTATAAAAATGGGAATCATAGATACAAATTTCTTGTTTTGGGTTACAATAATTCATATTTTGTGAAGAACCACAATGAATCTACCAGAAAATATACTGAAGATGATATTATCAAAATGCTGGACTTTTTGATCGACAATATATTTGTTGAGTTTGGAGGATTTATATTTCAACAGACAGTCGGTATTCCAATGGGTACTAATTGTGCACCCCTACTGGCCGATTTGTTTTTGTACTCGTATGAAGCAGAATTCATTCAGAACCTTCTAAAAGACAAAAAGAAAAAGCACCTTGCGAAATTCTTTAATTTTACTTTCCGATATATTGATGATGTCCTATCATTGAATAACCCATATTTCAGCCAATACTTACATATCATACATCCCAGTGAACTTGAAATTAAGAATACTACTGGTACTAGAAGGACTGCTTCATACCTTGATCTTTTCCTCAATATTGACACAGAATGACGACTTCACACGAAAATCTATGATAAACGGGACGATTTCAACTTCCCAATTATCAATTTCCCATTTCTTAGCAGTAACATACCCTCTGCCCCTTCGTATGGTGTTTACATATCTCAGTTGATACGTTATGCTCGTGCATGTTCACACTTTACGGACTTCATATACAGGAGTGTGCTCCTAACGCAGAAACTGCTCCAACAAAGTTATGAGGAGGACAGATTAAAAATGACACTCCGTAAATTTTACGGACACCATCACGAATTGGTTATCCATACGATGTGTCTTTTTCCAAACTAAGGACATTTTTACCACGTGTTAGATTGTGATCTTTTAATTACCGAACGTGACTTATTCCCGATTGTGACTGTTTTGCTGAGTGTGAATTCGCATTGCTATAAGACGTGTCACGGTACTTTTCTATCCAAAATTCATGTATTTAGTTTTGATGTTATATTTGTTATTCTCATCGGAATTTTTCAAATGTCTTATCGTTTGTAGTTGTAAATCTTATTTTTTTCTGTTGTATTCGTGTGTTATGGTAAAGATAATTAATCACCCAGTTCATTTATTAGATTTTAGTTTGGGTCAACTAAATTTATACGATATATTTGGTTTACAGTTTGATTTAGAAGAAACACCGACATTGCTAGATAATACAATTAATTATCTAATTACTACCACAATTTTATATTAATTAGTATTGTAATTCTCATTGTTATTAATAAATGTTATATGAGTATTACAAATCTAATCTTGAATTCTATCCTAATTCTATCCTATTTTGGGAAATTTTTAGAAATTCAAATGTGACGTCACTTTGTGCGTTGATCTCTTTGGCTAACTCGGCTGTGAATTTTTATGTACTGGTTTAAGTTGTTTTATGTATCCGTTTTTATTCTGTGATAAGTCACCACTTCGGTGTTATCATGTATATCTATTATATAGTCATTTTTATAAATTTACTGTTTGCAAAAGTATGAATTATTCTAAATAATAAGGATGTTCTTATCCCAGACAGAAAACCTAGTCGTATTAGGCACAACTCTTTGGAACTTTTGGTCCTCAATGCTCTTCAACTTTGTACTTGTTTTGGCTTTCGAACTTTTTTTATCTGAGCGTCACTGGTTAGTCTTGTGTGGACGAAAAGCGCGTCTTAAGTATTAAATTTTAAACCTGGTACCTTTTGTTAGCTATTATTCGTATGTTTCTCTGTCCTATATGTTCTCCCATTTATTTGTATTGTAGTCCTGTCATGTTATGTTGTCATTTTAATGTTATATTTAACATTGCCATAAAAGCGGGAGGTTTGGCTAGGCACAAAACCAGGTTCAACCCACAGTTTTTTTTCTTAAAATGTCCTGTACCAAGTCAGGAAAATGGCCATTGTTATATTATAGTTCGTTTCTGTGTGTGTTACATTTTAATGTTGTGTTTCTGTTGTTTCGTAGTTCTCCTCTTATATTTGATGTGTTTCCCTCAGTTTTAGTTTGTAACCCAGATTTGTTTTTTTCTCAATCGATTTATGAATTTCGAACAGCGGTATAGTAGTGTTGCCTTTATTTGCCATCCTCAGAGGTTGACAAAAATGATAAATAAAAAACACCCCGAAATCATTATTTTTAACTGGTTCAAAATACTATATGTTTTTTTTTTTTTTTTTTTGTAAAGTGAAAGATTTGTTTGTATGAAATTTGATTGATTGATTGATCTATTGTTTGTTGCTAAACGTCCAGTGGCAAATAGTTCATCCATGTTTAGGATGAGAACAAATTAACAATAAATACAAAGCAATAGAGCCCGTAGGTCGGGTAAGTCTAGATTGCATTTGCAAACCGAGGGCATATATTGGGAAAAGAAATTTATCCTTACAAAAGGCCACCCACGTATACCTCTCATAAAATTGTTGCAAGGGTTTGACAATCTCTTTACATGAGGCATCGGATTTAAAATCCCCATTCTGTCCGGACGAAGCTGAGTACTTGTACATCCTGCATTGCCAAACGGACGCCCCACTTTGGAAAAGGTTTTACTGCGGATCGGGAGAAAACCTGTAATGACTATATTTCTATTCCCCAGTCACCCTTGGCGGGGTGGGGGGTAGGGTTGAAACTTAAATATCCAATAAAAAACATTGAACAAACATACAAACCGACAACAGTTATTTAGTAATAATCTCATTGTATCGTAGTAGATATGTTACAATCACGGAGACGTTAAAACGTCTTTCATATATATTATGAAACCTTTTTAACATCGGCATGTTTTTTTCTTTTCGTTCTATTATCATGATTACATTTTCATCCAAATAATAACATCGTTAAGTTTAAAGTATGTTTTGCAAACATACAATTATCGCTCCTATTACGTTCATTCGTCGAGATACGTTCGTTCGTCAATATCCTGGTCATCTCTTATACGAGTCAACAGTAGTTAAACTATGTCCAAATCTCGTGAGTATATTAAGTATTTACAACAAAATAGAAATATAACATAAAACCTAAGGAAATTGATGTTTCAAATAAGTGAGACCGGGTCTCTACCACGTAAGTGTCGTCCGCTATATACACATCACCCGTCATGCAAATCAGCGAAATATATCACAATCTGAAATAGGACACATTGTGTAAAAAGCTTCAGATCGTAAGACTTTGAAAATATGTCTCTTGTGAGTTGAGACACAGTACATCATATCGGTCAACCAATTCGTGGTAGTTCAAAAGCCCAACAAAAAGGACTATTTGTGTTTTTTTTTTCATCCGAGATTTCGATTCTTCAAACCAACATTTCGATTTATTAAACCGCGATTTCAATTACGCAGACACGATCCTATTCAACTTGTTCTAGATCAAGATATATGCTAAATAGATAGAGGACTTCCATAACACGCTGAGATTTTGATTTACTGCATCGATATTTTGATTACAAGATAAAACTATATAATGAATAAACCAACAACTCGGACAAATGAATAGACTGCTTAATTTAAAGTATTATTGATATATGATTTTCGAAAGTTGATTAATAATGATTTAATTATAGAGGTACTACACTACAGTTTTCGCTGAAACATTGACAGGGTCAGTGTTTGTATCCTCAGATGGTGTTACCTTTTTAGATCCTAATTGGTCATTGCCCAAACTAAAAATTTATGATGGAGAAAACTGTTCAGGTAAGTAATTCTATTTAAATGTCCGTAAAACGTTATACCCTATAAAAATTTAATCACAGAATGTCAATTCACTTTGAATTATTTACTCTTTTGTGCAGTATTTCAAAAATATATTTCAATGTATATCAATTATAACAATAATTACATAATCGTCTGAAAATTGAGAAAGCAATAAGTGCAAAACAAAGAACATAAGAAACATCACTGTGTCACTCTTGGTTACTGACATTTACACTAAGAAAATGATGTATATGAGTTGCTTTAAGAGGAAATATGGGATAGAAGCCACCGAGACGAAAACGTAAATCCAAATCACAAAATGAAAAATAAAGTATCAAACTGCATTTATGTCCACAAACATGTTAATCTGTTAAAAATAATTTAATATAAATCTATATCATAAGCTACAGTTACAACTATTATATACTATATTCATTTATTCCAGACACTTTACCATTAAACGCGAGCCATCATAATCAGGTAGTTAGAAGACGAAGAAGGAGAATATATATCATCTTATTAATGAACAAAGTCATAAAATATGCTGCCAGGTTTATAAATAGGTAGACCAGACACAAGTGTTTCGTTCATTACAAGACCCGTTTGGAACGCTAAAATCAAACAGGTAGAAGGCCAATTTACCTATGAATGTTGACAACCTTAAAACTAAAATTTCAAGACCATCCATCCCTATTGGCAAAAAAAATAAGCCTTTCGAAAATATTAAATTGTTGAAACAATGTTACAGCACTTTAGTGTTGAAATGAAATATTATTGATATATTTCAATTTTAAGTAAATTTACTGTTCGTATAAATGCTGTATTACTCGAAACATAAGGTTTTTCTACCCAGGCATATATTGCCTAAGACGGATATTTTGCACAATTTTTCAGAATTCTCGTTTTACATTAAGTGAAGTTGATTCAATTTCAGCTTATCTTTTACAAACCTTATAAAGTCATTTTTAGTTAAAATCAATGATTTTGTTTTATTTAAAAGCAGTGTCAATGCATATCATACATTAGAACATGATTCCACACAAAACTACTCTGTTCTTAATGCAATTAATTTTAAACAATACACAAATGTAAAAATTGCTAGAGTTTAGCCATTAACAACCAGACAGCAAAACCCATAATGGCGTCGATTTTATTTTTCTGGTCACGTGATTTTCAGTTAAAAAATGGCATGTTTTAGCAACGGCAATAACACCACGAAATCGACGGCGTAAAGATATTTCATGTATATACATTGCTTAACAAAATGTATCATTTGATACGGCAGGTTTCAAACTTTCACTACGTTATTCTTTTAAGAATGGAAATGTAGGATTTCCTTGATTATTTGATTGGCAAAGATGAAAAAACGTGACTCTTCTCAGTGTATAAAGTCGCCAGGTAAATCGGCCGTGTGCCGATTCAACAGGTCCAAAATTTGCCTTTCTAAAGGAAGATAACTCCAATGAAAATTCGTTTAAGGAACGGCTGATCAGAAACGAGAGAAAGAAAGCATTTCGCTCAATTTTATTAAGGGAAACAGTGTTTATGGGGCATAATATCCAATAAATTATCCGTATGCGATAGTAAAATGTGTAAATATGAATAATATCGGAGAAATTATAATTAATCATTGGAATGAGGGCACCTGTCAAGATCCAGGGCCTTAATAGTGAGGGAAAGTATTACAGAATGTATGTCTTCTTTTGTAAATCACTATTTAATAGAAATATTCCCCCCCAAAAAATCTAGAAATCAGGGATATTGCTAGGGAAATTGCCAATTAATACATTCAGTTTAAATTTTTTTAACTAGAATACTACATAGAATTAGCCTCAGAAGAAATAAAAAAAAAGTATGTGGTGAAAAATATTTACATAAAGTGAGGGGTTTTAGACCAGTAAATTATTAGAAAAAATACTGATCCCAAGCTTTGGTGAAAAAATTTCCAACATTAAATGTGGAAAAATGTTTCAGCAGTTTCCCTGATTGCATGTTTACCTCTATTTTGTCATACTTTGATAGAAATAATAGTTTAAAGGCATACATCTCCTTAGATGAATCAAGTTATATTCTTGAATACACATAAACACTTCATTTTGATTAAGCATTCAATGATTCAGGAACATTTTTTTTCTTTGTAGATCTACATGAAAAGATATTTTATAAAGATTATGGGTTTGAAATGTACACGTTTAATATATTCTATTCTAGAGTAATATTTTTAGAGAATGTTAGAATCCATTTTTTTCTTTGAAGAATTTGCAATGGTTTTTCATACTAACTATATTTTGACCTTTGGTCTGACAGTGATTGCAGACCTGTCATTTGTTTTATTGTGTGTGGTCTCAATTTAGAAAAGGTGTTATATTATAAAAAACATTTATAAAATGTAGAAGTTTCTGTTTTTAATCATTCAGAACTTGTCAGGACTTGGGAGGATATATAGCTTGGCATATGACATGGGTACCCATCCACCATTTACACTCCCCTTGAGTCGTCATGTCTGTATTTAACCAGATAAAGTAAATTTCATATTTTTCAAGAGAAAATAAAAACTTCCGACTCTTATTATTAAATGAAACCACCAGTCCTTCATTTGCTGAAGGCTTAATAATATGATAAAGCCTTGACATACCTTGTTTTTCTGAGTATAGAAATATTTAAAAAAAAAAGCACTTTCAGGCTCCAACAGAAATGTCAAGTTTCTTCGTAGAACACGTGTATGTATATTAATATATGTGCAATAACAGTTATTATTATACTTCTTGTCAAAATGCCAGATTTTGATTGGTTAATACGAGGTAGATAATTTACTCTATCCCATGGTAAATATTCTATTACCCTTCACGGAAACGCTTGATCAAGTGCGCGCTTTATTAAATACGAATGGTTGTTGTGTACAAGGCGTCATAATTTATTACTTTGAATTTGAAAATTTAATAGACAGTAAAAACAGATCATTCAATATAATAATTTAAAAACACATACCTGAGAGGTTGATAGAGCAGATTGTTACCCCTCGAAAAGACATTGTCAACGTTAGCTTCGCCGCGGTTGACAATGTTTTCTCGGGGTAACAATCTACTCTATCACCCTCTCAGCTATGTGTTATTTATATATTGTCAATGCAAAGAGTATCAGGATGTATTCTGGGTGTGACAGCTACTAATTATTTGTCAACTTAAAACCCAATCCTCAATCATGTATATCGAATAACTAAATACTGCAAAACATGCTATAAACATGTGATAAAAGTAAAATGCCAATATACTGTATAAAACTGAAAATAGCACTTCACTAATATGTAATTTTGTATGTTTTAGTGGATATTAATTTATGTAATCAAATTAAAAAAAAATCACAACATTAAACAGGGTTATGGGGTGTGAAAAATGATTATGTAATGAGTATGAAAAGCTTTTTAAATTATACCATCAGAGACACATATAACCATCTCTGGCAACATATATATTTATATATATATACTTTAATATGTGTAATAATGAAGAATTAAAAAATATTACCATCTTGACCTAATTAATTAATATATATTATAAATCCTTATACATGCAGCTAAGCAATTGTAAAAATATAATTGACTAAATCATCATAGTCATCAATTTAGGTAAACTGGATGCAGATTGAAGAACCATCTATGGAACAACTAATGAAAGATTGCTTAAAGATGAACAGGGATTGAGCACAAACAATATTATATTATGATGTGATATCATCTTCATTATTTTGCAATTACACCCGTAAAGTACAAAATAAAGATCTGACTCTGTCCAAACTGTTTTTCCTCTGTCTTTTATTTATGATTTATCATATCTTGTGAAATTTACACTTGAGTCATGTCATTAAAGACAAATCCTGACATGCTCAACATATCACAATAATTTACACTTGTACTTGCTAAAAAAGAATGCACTGATTAAGGGATATTATTGGGAGGCTTATATACATATTCTTAAATGCATAATGTGCTGAATTCAGAATATCTAAGTGTGATTTATAAGAAAGTAGACAACTTTTGTTCACATTTTGTAATTTTGTGTACTGAAAGACATCAGTGAGCCATGAAAAGGGGAAATAAATCACAAAAAAAACCCAACAGATTTTAATCATTTCAATAACATGTTGACTGTCTTTTCCTCTGTGACAAGTTTTTCATATTTTTAAGATGTTTTGGTCAAGAACAGAGAGGTTTTAAAAAAAAAATCATAGGGAGTGCCTGCAGGGCCTTACCAAATTGTGATGTGTACTGAAATTGTGCTCTTGTGTAAACAACGAAATCAATGTTAACGTCATGTGACTATCCAAGTTCTGTTCTCCATGTTCCAGTTTATTAAAATAAACTACTCATGTTTCTTTTTTCTAGGTAAAACAGGTTTGTGTCAATTCGTCCCGAGTTGAAAATTTGTCAATAACAGTCGAAGTTGAAAAATGGCGGTTCTGAAGACTGAAAATTAATGACTTGAATTTCTTTTTCTACGATATATTACTTTTACTTCTTATATCTTTTAAATTATTGTAAAACTTATGATATCATGTATACCGCTCATGATACGTTTAGTTTCTAAAAATTTAACAAATTCACGATTTCCTACTAGGTCGTCTTCCTCGGGGAATTATTTTTCTACGCAGCGACATCTGTTGACGGCATTCTCTGAAATTATCTCCACTTGATTCTTGAGTAATAAATCCGGGGTTTTAACGGACAAATCAGAGATTTGCTGTCCGGCTGTAAACCACATTTAAAACAAGAAATCAAACAAGTACTGATATTAAACGATGGGAAAGGTTTATCAGCAGCGTTGAGTGCTGATAACGGGGATGTGAGGCTTTGTCTATAGACTATATATGCAAGAACGTGAGTACATCTATTCTGCAAACATGTTGAATCTAAAAAAACTATAGACCTACAATAATATAGATAAACAAAACAAATTTATTTTTTGGCGAAGTAGTCACTCGTTCATAGAGAGATATATTTGTCGTTTAAAATTGAGCCTAATATGATTGATGAGTTATCCTACAGCCACTAGGTCGATTCCACTGCTGTTGGAGGTTTCTTCCTCGAGGGTATCACCAATCCAATAGTCGGCACTTCTGTGTTGAAATGAATTATCATTGATATTGTGATATTCATACATCAATAGTTTACGAAATACTTATGATTTTCTACCCCAGGAATAGATTACTGTAGCTGTATTTGTTTTGTTTTTTGGGGTCTTCAATGCTCTTTAACTTCGAACTTTATTTGGTGTTTTTGCTTGTTTTATTCAAGCGCCAATAATGAGTCTTTTAAGGACGAAACTCAGGTCTGGTGTGTAAAATTATAAGACTGATATCTTTATCTTTATCTTTATGCCTGTACCAAGTCAGGAATATGACAATTGTTGTCCATTCGTTTAATGTGTTTGTGCTTTTGATTTTGCCATTTGATTTGAGACTTTCCGTTTTGAATTTTCCTCGGAGTTCAGTATTTTTGTGATTTAACTTTTTGATAAGTTTTTCTTTTGCATATGCACACATTTCTATTATAGCCACTGATATATCTTTTGCAAATACCAATACAATAGTAAAAAGTTTGTATACAAAAGAGAGGCGAAAGATACCAAAGGAATATTCAATCCCATAGGTCGAAATCAGACTGACATCGCCATAGCAATATCCCATTACACAAGAGATGTATTCTTACGTTTATTTTTTTAATTTATTTTAACAGGACACACGACCAAATTGTGCATCTGATAAGGGATTTCAAGTATCGACTACTGTCTTGAGCACATATTTTCAAATTCCATTTGATTATATACCATACATTACACATGCGTTTTGGAGTATAGATGAGCGACATTGGCTTGGTGGTAAATACTTTTCTTTAATAGTTACCATAATCTTAAAAAATTAAAGCATTACATTTAAAACGACAGCTAGATAAATGAACCAAAGGCTGAATTATATATGAAATAATTGGAACTACGAAATGAGGAAAGTAGGACTACAAAAGAAAACAAACTAGTAACCAACGAGTAATAAAACATTAAATGTCAAAGGACAGCATAAGAAAAACATCGAAAGTTTAAATGAAGAAATATCACTTCACAAACCTATAGAAAAAAATAGAAAACTAAGAATTATGCATGATGAACGATCTCGAAAATCGATGGAATTAAAGTGCTCTTAACGGACAAGTAGCTAGTGATCCACTAATGCCAGTCGCCTTGTTGACCTCAATAGAAATAAATCCGTAGATCTTTATAATAGTCACCTGTAATACAGAAATTTTGTAACAGCCAAAGATGTCATGGTTCCATTCATAAAATTTGCGCATGGAAGGTAGTGTTGACTTAAAAAATCTCTTGAATATTATTACAAATAACATTTATATCATAATATTTGTTATAATGATATTTTAACATGTACATTATAAGCAACGGTGAGTGTATCAATAATAACTTTAACGGTACTAATTTTGATATACCAGATGCTCATTCTGAAAATAAATGTCCTGATAGCGATGCCATAATATTAGTTTGTCCTTTTGGTTGTATCAGCTCTCCAACGATTTGCATTTACAAATATTTGCCCTAAATATTTGAAAATGCAAATCGTTGAAGGGCTGATACAAATAAAAGGACCAACAGTAACGCCATACTCGGAAAAGGAGTCCGAGATACAGAGGAAAGCGATACATTCCTCAATTTGAAAAGAGTTCCAAATTTCAATGAAGCAGTATCCGTATTTCATGCCAGTACAGAGGTACTGTCAATTGAACTGGTAATACCCTATGAGACTAGCAGCAGAAGTATCGACAAAGTGATAGGAAAAAAATTAACGATAACTGCACCAGAAGCGCAATTCGAAAGCTATACATGAAGAGATGCATTCCTTAAATAAAGGATAATTCCAAAAAGTTAATAAAAGCAACATTTCAATAAAACAATATCCGTATTGGCATGCGAGTACCAGAATAATGATTAAATTATTAAATATTATTGAATACTGAATATGTAGACTAATTTAAAATGTAGTTCAGAATATACTTTTGTATTTGTAAAGGCAGTTTCATTAAATTAAATACTAGTAGATGGATACTTTTGCAGAGTTAAGAAAGATGTGTTAAGTGTGCATTGTACAAATGTGACAAGAACTTGAAAGATTCTATTTAACAAATTTAACTATTAGTTTAAAATAGCAAAAAATGTTTACCAAACGTCTTTCTGGATGTACATGTATGAAGATCAATGAATCATTGGTAATCTATGCTGTAGTATGACGGATAAAAAGATAAGACAACCAATCCCCTTAGATACTTTTAACTTACTTGAAATAATAAGAAATTTGAAAATTTCAGATTTGTGGAGCACATTCAATGAAATGAACTACCAATATACTTCAATCCATCAAAACATGGAGCTGACAGCAAGTGATCTTTTACTTGAGCCTGGACGAACATATCGATTATCAGTGAAGTTTTGTGCAGATATAGTTTGTTTTCCTTCTGCTCTTAAGACTAGTGGTGTTACCATCTTACCAAACAAACCTGTTATCGGACCTATATCGATCGATTACACATGTCATACTAACAATACAGATAAGGTATTGTCTTTTTTTAATTGCCCCTACACCTTTAAAGAAAAAGTATCAATTATTCTGTCTTTTATTATAACTTGAAATGTTATGTTGTTATACGATGAATTATTCTGTAAGGGAGTATTTAATTGCGCACCTTTTGATTGATATCCTGGTTTTATACGTTATTACATAGATATAAGAAGATGTGGTATAAGTGCCAGTGAGACAACTCTCCATCCAAGTCACAATTTGTCAAAGTAAACCATAATAGTCAAAGTACGGCCTTCAACACGGAGCCTTGGCTCACACAGAACAGCAAGCAATAAAAGGCCCCCAAAATGACTAGTGTAAAACCATTCAAAGAGGAAAACCAATGGTCTAATCTATATAAAAAACGAGAAACGAGAAAAACTTATAAAACACATCAACAAACGACAACCACTGAACACCAGGTTCCTGACTTAGGACAGGTCGGTTTTAAACATTTTAATAGGCGCCAACCTTCACCCTTGATAAACAACAGACTAGGGTCATTATTAAACGCAGAGAAAACTAAATATTGAGAAACATTGGAATTTTACAAAATATATTACTGATTTAAATGAAATAGTGTTCAAAGTCAATAAGTTTCAGTTGTTATTGAATATAGATGTTTTGTTGTAAAGAAACGTATTTTGTTAAATTTTAGATAGAAATCATGTTTGCTAATATGTATGATCCCGACGTTTTGGATGAAGAGGAAGCAAGACGAGTAGTATCACATTACGAATACAGTCTACAGGATAGTTCAAGTGGAATATTTCATTCTTGGTTGAAAGCAGATAATATATCAGCAGTTAACAGCTCTTTCGTATGTTATATTTTTCTGGATTTAGTGTCTGATCATTGATCTTTACACGCACATTTTAGTCAAAGGAAAATACATTCACAGATTTTATGGAATTCTATTTACAGTTTTCGCACGTTCGACTTGTGCTGAAAATAGTAAAGTAATCCATTTATTCTTCTTCATTTCTGAAGTGTAAATGAATCATATAAAAAAAGATGTATATAAGTAAATTCGTAAAAAACTTTAAAAAATGTTATTTGAAATAGACATTATTGCCATCTTTGCTGTTCGTCGTAGAAAATGTTTAAAAAATTATGTTTTATGGCTCTACAGAATAGTTTCAACGTTATTTCGTCATTATATTAGTATTTTTCACCAGTGGGCCATTCTGAATGATGTATCTGTATAAACCAAAATCAAAACAAGGATCTTTCAAAATATTTCTATTATAGAGGTAAACAACCGGAATTAAAAGAAATCTGATGTCTAGAAAAGTCTAGGGATTGTTTACAGCAAGTTAGAATTAAAAGATATTTCTTGAGAAAGATTTGCACAGATTTTATATGCATTGTACATGAAAACCAAAGTTTAAAAAAAGGTCAAATGAGTCAGAATTTGTCATTGTAGTAATAACAGGACATTAATGCAAAATACCATTAAAGTCTTTTATTTTTTACAGTCACACTTTACAATTTATTTGTTGGGCCAAATGGATTTTTCAAAATGTCGTATAATTGCCTTACGCGGATATAATAGAGCAGGCGTGTGGCAGACAGCATTAGCTGAAATCAAACAGTGCAATGTACAAGCTGACAATCAATTTATTGTTCCAAACGTAGTCATAGATGCTACAGGAGATCAGCAATTAAATGGAGGTATGTTCTCATAAAAAGGGGTTTTGTTTATATTTTCCTGGTTTTTAAGCTATAAATGTGAACAGCAGTTATGCCTTTTAAAATCATTTGAATATAACGTTAATTTATATATCAAATTCAAATTCATTTAAATAATACACATCAACCTTCATTTTTTCGTCTTTTAGATGAATCAATAAGAGATGGATATGGCAAAGAAATATATCTAAAAGAAAACGGCAAATGGAATATTGAAGACGTGGATTACACTCCGTATAAAAACATTATAAGTGCTATGTGGCACTCACTGCGGCAAAAAGACTTTACTTGGGCAGTGATTGAAATAAAAACATTAGATACATTAACATACTACAAGGATTTCAACAGTATTCATCTTTCAGACCCATGTTCACATCCTGATGTTGTTAAATGTGGACATACTGGTAAAATATTTGCAGTTTGATATGGCAATTTATTTTTATTTTTGATAATGGAGTTTTCGATATACATTCAATGTGACAGAAGCTTATTGACTAAACAAAACAAAAAGCATTTACTTGTTAGGTTATTTAGTTTCAGTTAATGTTCTAGATTTTTATGTTTACACAATTTTTCCTTAATCGTAGTCGTGTCGTTTTTTATTTTGTGATGCATATTACAAAGAGATAGGATACTTTAAAAATAAGGATATGTGGTATGATACGCGTATTTGACATATCTTGATATCATCCTTTGATAGTATGGCTTTCTAAACTGTCAATTTCTACATAAAGAAATGCATGAACCAAGTCATTAATATGACAGTTGTTTTCCATTCGTTTGATGTACGTGTTTGAATTTTTATTATGCCATTTCAAAAGGGACTTTCAGTTTTGAATTTTCCTTGGAGTTTGGTATTTTTTGTTATTTTATTTTTTTTTTGATAGAAACTTAACACATATATATTTCATTGCTGTTTCATGGCGTTTACCTCATATTCCCTTTCTTCCATATACAGAACAAAGGCAGGAAACAGAACAACCATGCAAAACTTGTAAAATGAAGACATTTAAATTAAGTTTTGGTTTTTATTGGTCATTGATCTAATAGTATGGCTTTCTAAAAGAGGGACGAAAGATACCAGAGGGACAGTCAAACTCATAGGTCGAAAACAAACTGACAACGCCATGGCCAAAAATAAAAAGACAAACAGACAAATAATAGTACAGATGACACAACATAGAAAACTAAAGACTAAGCAACACGAACCCCACCAAAAACTGGGGGTGATCTCAGGTGCTCTGGAAGGGTAAGCAGATCCTGCTGCACATGTGGCACCCGTCGTGTTACTTATGTTTTTACAAATCCGGTAAATAGTTTAATTCGGTAAGTCACATCGTGAAAAGGGAGGGTATTGTAGTTACGACATAAGGAACATATCTGATATCATCTTTGAAACGGTAATTCCATAACGGTCAACCAACTCGTGATGGCGTCAACTGTCAAACTTGGAATGATTCTTTAATTTAACAAGTCTCTCCAGATATCAAAATGAATTCCGTAGAGCAAGAGGAATAAGTGATGACATATTTTTAGTTATATGTTCTCTTTGTACTTTTGATGAGCTATACAGCTTTGTTTAATTTTAAAGTCACTTCAGACTAATGAATCGTTTATGAATGATTTTTTTTTCAGAGAGTGTTTATATTAATGTGTTATTCAATGACGAAAGTCCACTAGAACACGGTAAACGCTACACTATATGCATTCATGCTCCATCAAAAACGCTTCAGCATGAGAAGTGGACAGAATCACTGAAGGAAATTAATACTTGCAGTGATGGTATCACCGTTGATCTTACTCCTCCTAAAACCGGAAAAGTATGGATTGGACCAACTATAGAAAAACAGTACAAGGTATATTGAATATTCAAATAAGTTACATGTAAAATGATGTCATTCTTAATAGAGGTTTCCCGATTTGCTACGAATCAGGTACTGTTGGTACGTAACTCAACGGTTAGTGCTGTTTTGGAGGTATCATTTAATGCATGAGATTATTTTATTCATCATGATAAAATTAAAAGAATAAAAATGCATATTAGTAAAAAAAAAAGCTAAATATTTTATTTGATAACGATTTCAACGTTTCCAGATCACTTTTTTTATGATTCTTTATGAGCTTATTTAGTTTATGCACAAGTGCATGAATCAAACAGACCTTAAACGAACTGACATGGCCTTAAGATTCTAAATATAGATTTGCGTTTCTGTTTGTTATATGTATTGTTTTTGTTTTATAGATAAACAAAGATTTTTTTCTTATGTATAAACAGAATTTGGAATAGTTAAAATAATATATATGACGTGACTTTCTAAAACACGTGTAACTGATGATAGTTATATTCGTTAACGTGTTAAAATTTGTTGATTTCATATTATAATTAGTTCCTGCATGATTTTGACATTTTTTCTAATTCAAGTAATCTATTTCGATCATTACACCAGAAGATTTTTCTAAAGAAGATGAGCGAGCTGAGATTCCGTATTGAGTAAGAAAAGGGCACTCTTCTCATTTTTTTTTATCAACAACTGACGATTTTTTTCTTATAGAAATGCATTCTAAAATGGAAAACTGAAAAAATATATTGAAAATTCACTATTCTGTTGCCGATGAAAAAAACCCACCAATGTCTTGAATCATTGAATTTAAAAGGCTAGAACAATTGTCATATAATTATAGTCAATTGTACTGACACTTGTGTTCTTTGAGAATTTATTAAAGTGTCTTTTATTTGACCTTTCTTCGTACTTTTAACTTTGGTTAAATTTCTCATACGTGTCTATGCCGATTTTTGCGAAAATGCAGAAAATATCAGAATGGTATAGATAATGAGTTCAAACTACTCAAATACGTGACAATGTTAAACATTCTATTAAATGACCCAAGTTTTTATGTGTATCTAGGGACATACTCAATCGAATTAATCTTTCAGACTGGTCCACGAAATTTAAGACGTAATTAACTATTTTTATTAGCAGGTTTTTTTATTTATCTTCATCATTGATACATTTTCAATGAGGTCAATTTTGTATGTTAAAAAAGCTCTTATTCTGTCATGTTTTCTAAAAACATACCTAAAAAATGCCATCCTATTCATTCTATACTGTTATATCAATATAACAGGCGAACATGAGATAAAATATGAATGTGTTTTATATTTAGCTTCTTTTTGCCTGTGCAATTTCAGGGGAAATAAATGCTAATTATAAACTGTTCGTGCAACGGTTACTTGCTACAGTTGGTTGAAAGCATAATCGAGTAAACATAATATCGTTTGTTATGAATAGGAAAACTATCCACATGAAATTAATACCAAGTTGAAGCTAAAAATCCTCCAAATACTTTTGGTAATGATTCATAAAACATACGTTGACATGAAGTGCAAATGTGAACTATTTTCAAAAGTTCAATGACAGCTCCCAGTTCGTACTACGGTTGGTAGCAAATCGGGAAACATCTAGTTGACGGCTCGGTTCTGCTGAAGTGTAATTGTTGTTTACCCTATCAATAATCTCTGTACATTATTGTGCGCACTATTCCGAATTACATATTATAATCTAAAAGAAATCCAAATCAAGACATTGGTTGATAATGAACGACACAAAGACGAAACAAATCGACATACAAAATAATAAAGATATTTACTCGCTGCATTGAAGACCCATTGGTAGCCTTCGGCTGTTGTCTGCTCTTTGGTCGGGTTGTTGTCTCTTTGACACATTCCCCATTTCCATTCTCAATTTTATTAGAATTGAAGCTTTTGAAAGACAAGACCGATTGTGAATGGTATGCATATTCTACTCCAAATGCGACACCTATGGTATTTGCCAGTATTTAAAATCCGCAATAAATCACATACGGTAAGTGTCCTAATGATGAAACAATGAAAATCTCTTTAGGTAAGGTCAAATGACAATCAGTTAAATCGTGTATTCAAATATGACGTGCTTCTTTTGCTTTGTAAACAACAGCGTAATAAAATTCTTGATAAATATATACTTAGCGCAGACTCAGAGATGTACATATTAATGGCTGTTACTGTTTACCTCCCACGTAAATCCACATGTATCGTATACTATGTGCAAACATTATGTGGATTTCGTTGTGTTAAAATTGAAATTGAAAAAGAAACTACGGAACCGTTATTGCTATTTTAATGCATAACAAAAAGATTTAATGCATAAATCTTAAAAAATGTATAAAAACAAATTAAATTAAATTCCGGGAAATTCCATGAATGATCTTGGCGCATTAACGTCATGTCAAAACATGCGGTCATACGAATGAAAACTCGCAATCTGAAGATTATTCCGTTACATGTACGGTCTAAATTCGGATAATATCGCATTAAAATGTAGTTTGAGATAGGTATTGTTTCATTTTCTATTATATTGCATCATTCGCACATTCATCAATTTCAGCAAGTCAGCAAGGAGGCTCATTACTAAGTTACGACATGTCAACTGTGGATTTGACAGTAAATAGTAGCCAACGAAAAAAAAACTGTTTGGGTTAAGAATTATAAAGATTGAACACATTTTTTCTAGTGATTATTTAAGAAATAATTCATGCAAGCCTTAGATTTATTTGAAATTTGTAGCTTTTATCTAACAGGGGTAAAACTGAACAGCCATACACACGGCAATCTTACCTTCGCTTCAGTGTTTCTAATTAGTATTTGTGTTATTAGAATAGAAATAATTCATGCAAGCCATAGATTTGTTATCATTTTCACATGGCCTAACGCTCGAGATAAAATTTGAATATAACGGCCCAGGCCATGTGAAAATTTCCAACAAATCTATGGCTTGCATGAATTATTTCTTAATTATTATTTATCATTTTGTTATTTTTTTTAAATTCCGCATAAAAAAATCTAAGCTGGAAATTTAGGATTTTACTAAAAAAAAAAAAGCAACCTCCGCCATTCTGCAATAAACCTCAAGCGATTTCATAATTGAATTATGGTTTCCATTACCACAAGAATATGATGGAATATGTTTTTAATTGTAACTTTCAACTAAAACAAATTGTAGCTGACTGAGCAGTTTCTGAGGGACTAATTTTGCCATTAGAAGAAAGCCATTGCGTTACATGAAATCTCTTGAAATATGTATACACCATAGTTAATGCAAGTATGTTAAGTCTGAGCAGTAAAATTCACTAATAGTAACCTATCGAATAATAAAATTGGTCCTGAGGTTTTTCTTTTTTTGTTTTTTTTGTTTTTGTAGGTTTTGAGTTCTTTTGACAGGAATAATTCAAACCAAAAAAGCATTCATTTTGATTTAGTAGTATTGTAAAAATACTTTTACATAATCGTTATTTCAAAACGGTCATTGTCCTAAAAACTGACACCAAAACAATAACGCTGATCTAACATCTTTTTATGTAATAACCCTGTTTTATAAATTCTGCTTGATACACGTATAAAAAATTCACAAGGGGAGTAGTACACAATTATTACTATTTGAAACGCAATACATATATATTAAACCATGCACTGCCAAAAAGAGAGATAAAACTCATGAAACGCATTTAGCTAACAAAAATAAATGGTGAAACAACGAATAACATTTATAGGAGGGATATGTATACCCTTAATTGTACGATGAATAACTAGTATATTCAATTTGCAAAACAAAACCTTACAGTATTCATGTCTTTCAAATTTGTTTCTAAGTAACTTATCAATTTGCTTGCACTAGTTTCAGACAACAACATCTGATATTTTCGTAAATTGGGAATCGTTTTTGGATGTTGAAGAATATGGTACAGCAAGTCACAGTACTGGTATACGCCAATACCAAGTTGCTATTGGTAGGATGAATTTAAATTTATGACCTTATATTTTCAAAATATTGATCAGTTTAATGTAACAGTTAGAAAAAAAAAATTGTAAGAATTACACTCAACTAAAATTCCTTGAAGACATTCTAAGATATATTCCCAGAACTATATTATAGGGGGCAAAAGTAGTTAACTGATGTTTAAAACAGTAAATTTCTCTTAAATATACAAACCAAGAAAAAAACCCGCAGTGAATCGCATGAACTCCAACAGTTAAGGACATATTCCTGAATTTATATTTTTTAAAAGCATGATAATAATAGTTATCAAAGGTACCAGGATTATAATTTAATACGCCAGACGCGCGTTTCGTCTACATAAGACTCATCAGTGACGCTCAGATCAAAATAGTTATAAAGCCAAACAAGTACAAAGTTGAAGAGCATTGAGGACCCAAAATTCCAAAAAGTTGTGCCAAATACGGCTAAGGTAATCTATTCCTGGGATAAGAAAATCCTTAGTTTTTCGAAAAATTCAAAGTTTTGTAACAGGAAATTTATAAAAATGACCATATAATTGATATTCATGTCAACACCGAAGCGCTGACTACTGGGCTGGTGATACCCTCGGGGACGAAACGTCCACCAGCAGTGGCATCGACCCAGTTGTGTAAATAGTTATCAAAGGTACCAGGATTATAATTTAATAATAAAACAGATTCAACTATGAATTCATTATATATATTTCTTGTCCTATTAAGAGTCACTGGTCAATATAAATGATCGCTACAAAATTATATCAGGCAGTGTATGTGTAAACGGACCTGGTCGATTCATACGGTATGCCTGCCTGTGTGTCAGTAGGTTCTATTGAAAATCTTATAACAGCGAGAAATTTAACAGAAAAGTTCAGTTCTAATATTATCATGTGTAATTTATCAGCTTTTGTAAGGTTAACTGTTTAATGTCAAAGGTAAAGCTGGAGACATAACTGAAGGTCATACTTCGATAAAAAAAATATACACGGAATTAAATTTAGATTTTAGGTTCATAGGTCCTAATTAAAAATGATGACAGTTGTTATCCATTCTTTTGATGTGTTTGAGCTTTTGATTTTGCCATTTGATTATGACTTATATCTAGAAATTGACTATGAGGGTCGGTTGAAAACAAAACTTTACGACAAAAGAGATGATTTCAGCTTCCAAATTGTGTGAATTTTCATTTTTAAACCAAGAGTTCGAAATGGTGAAGTTGAAATCATCACTTTGTAAATTTTACGGACGCCATCATGAGTTGGTTGACCGTTATGGAATATCCGTTTCACAGATGATATCGGATATGTTCCTTATGTCGTAACTACAATCCCGTTCCCTTTTCACGAATGTAACTTCCGAATTAGACTATTTACCCCTATTTGTGACATTTTTACCTATTGTTTTTGTTTGTTTTGTTTCGTTGTCAATATAATGGAATTTTATGCGACTGTCATACAAATGAGAGGTTTAGCTAGCATTAAAACCAGGTTCAATCCACCATTTTCTATATAAGAAAATGCCTGTACCTAGTCAGGAATATGACAGTTGTTATCCATTCGTTTGATGTGTTTGAGCTTTTGATATTGCTATTTGATTAGGGACTTTCCTTTTTGAATTTTCCTCGGAGTTGAGTATTTTTGTGATTTTACTTTTTATTCAATTTACATGAAACATGATATAATAAACGTATGTCATCACAATGTAAAGGAAACACATAGTTTTTTCAATTTTGAAGCAGAGATGGAGAATCATGGCTACCACACATTAATAATTCAAGTAATACACTTCAAAATTGTTTTGCAGTATTTTATTGATAATAACTACTCTCGTTGATATACATCTTTTTCATTAACAGGGTCTGTTGAAGGCGGGTCAGATATAGTTGAATACACAAATGTTGGTATTTTAAACCATGTAACATTTCACAATCTTAACTTACAGAATGGACATGATTATTTTGCATCTGTTAAAGGTAATAGTGCATCTTTTTTTTAAAATTGAACTTGTATAAAAAAAAAAGATAGAAGAAAAAAAAACTTAATGTATGCAAAATTTGAATTGAATATTATATAAATGAAATTGTTTAGGACGAAGACATTTTGACGTTTGCCATTAAAAGATTTCAGTAACATATGTTTTTACTTTTACTTAGGCTTTTCAACATAGCACTATATTAATGCCTAACTATTTATGGAAGTGCATACTATAAAATTCAAATTGAACTGACCTTCAATTACAAAAGATTATCATAAAGGTTAATGATGTTAAAATTATGGAAAATGAGTGATTAAAGACAACGAAATTTTGTACACGATATTTTATTCTGTAACAGACTTTCTTAAATACTCCTATTTCATTGCATCTATTTCATTTTAAGGAATTGATTTTTCTGGAAGAATTTCTACAGCAAACTCTGTCTCCATCAGAGTAGACACCACTCCACCACATTTAACATCAAGACCCATTCTAACTGATGGCAGACATATTAGAAATTTTAGTGAAATTCAAGCATGGTGAGTATTAAGAAAATGAACCTATAAAAATAGGGAGATTAATCTAAGTTCTCAGTATATTAAATTAGAACGCAAGGACCTCAAATCTCTAACATTTTGTAACATATTTATTTCAGCTGGAAAGATGTATTTTCTGACTTAGAAAGTGGGATTAAACATTATCTATTAGAAGTAGGCTCTAAACCAAACTTTGGGGACATTGTTGAATCTATCAAGACAACTGAAGACTGTGGTGTTTCTGTACAGTATTTGGATATAGATACCTATCAAGGACATGCAAACTTTATTACTGTTAACCCAAGTCAAAGTGGAAGGCAGTTTCTTGGCAGTTTCTTAGCCTTCCAAGTTCACATATTTAGCAGTTTCTGATGCTTGGCAGTTCTGAACCTTCAAAAATTTACCAGTTACTTCATATACAAAAATAAGCAGTTTTCCTTAACCTTCACAGTTATTCTGGCAGTTCAAAGCAGTTCCTTAGCTGCTTTAGGCAGTTTCTTAGCAGTTATTTTCACGAAATATTTAAATTAGGTACTAAAAACTGCTTTCATTTCATGAATATTCATATTAAACTGCTTCTAGTTAATTAATATTCATATAAAACTGGGAAATAACTGCTAAGGAAAATGCAAATATGGTCATGATCTTATGCATTATTTTTACTAGTAGCTGTTAAAAAAGTAACAATAATATGTAATAATTATCAAAAACAAAAATATATCTTCTATGTTATCCAAATTCATGGTTAATATGTTTAGCTTTTATGTATTACAATTATATATTGATGTCAGAGGTGCAACATGTAATAAAAGTTTCAATTAAGTCATCTGATATAGAAATGGAAATCAAGATTCATGCAATCTTATATACAATGATATACTTGAAATTAATTACTTGTTATATTACCTGATTAGTAAGAAGACTCTTAAATATTAATATGATTAAGTATATTTGTAAACCGAATCAATTTTATTCTGATATAATCTTTATAAATACATGACACGTACGTAAACCGGCTGGACTGTCACAATTATTAGGAGCGAAAATAAGAATTAAGCTATTATAGATAAATATATCATACTTGTCATTATTGTTTTGTTATGTCAAAAATGTATGTTGAATAAAACATTGAAAGTACAATTTCAAAAAGTAAAAATAATAGATTCCAATTTTTTGCACTTACCAGAATTAATTAAGATGTAATCCAAAATTCACACAATTGATATGATTATAATCATCAAAAATTGCCATTGAGACAAGGCCCATCTTTAATATGCAATGTGAAAAGAACTATTTTGTTCATGTAAGAAGACACATCTTTCTTGTTGTCTTCCTGTATTCCAAATTCAAATTTTATGATATTGCAATGCATGGGGATGTTTAAGGAGTTGTTTGATTCTGTTGAAGTATTCTCTTAAAGATTACTAGCAATTAAGTGCCTAAATCTTTAAAATGTGATAAATAATATTAAGAAAAAAATATCCATTTTTGTTTAAATAAGTTATTTTTACTAAAAGTGGTAGTAATTGCCAAACAATATATTAAGATAAGTGTTCTCCTTCATGTGCCCTAAATTTCAGTGAAGATAGCACTTCCTGTGTCCACCACAGAGAGGTCAATTGTAAACAGATGGCATATTTCTACAAGACCACTTTTATCTAAATCACATTAACTCTGTTTGATGCAACTGCCTAGAAAAATTTACAAATCAAACTGCTAATTTTATGAAAATAACTGCCAACCTTAGCTGGAAGACAATTATAACCTTCATCAAACTGCTTTGAATATGTAAACTGCTTAAATTAACTGCTATCTTTTACTTGTAGGCAGTTATTTTAAACTGCCTAAATCAAAACTGCTTTGTACTGCCCCAAAACAACTAAAAATTCAAGATACTGCTATAAAACTGCCAATGAACTGCTTAAATAGGCAGTTCACTTTGACTTGGGAAGGTATGATTTATTTTCAATACTTTATGCATATGCACATTTTATACAACATGATATAGATCATCTATATTCATTTTAGTATTTTATGAATGTTCAAAAGCATCGTTCCACTTTCAGTTATGCTGAAAAATAGTAAAATGTGTTTTTGAAAACATAATTTAATCCTTTTATTTTTGGCCATGACGTTGTCAGTTTGTATTCGATCTATGAGTTTGACTGTCCCGCTGGTATCTTTCGTCCCTCTTTTAAGACTTTTTTTCTCAATACGATAAACATAATATGTAGGAAACATTTGTCAAATGCAATACTTAACCCTAATTTCTTTTTTCTACTTATAGGCAGTCAATAATGCAAATTTAGTAACAACTGCATCCTCATGGGGTTACATTTATGATAAAACTCCACCAGAAGTGGGACAAGTATTTGATGGATTTTTGCATGATATTAAGATGAATAGAAGGGACATAGACTTTCAAATAAGCTCTGTTAAGCTTGGTGCTCATTGGGAAAAATTCTATGACCCACATACAACAATAAAGACTTACAAAATCGCTATTGGAACTTGTGCTGGGTGTGATGATGTGTTACAAACACATGATATCGGATTAATATATGGTAAACTTACTGAATTTATATTGCTTCAATAAAGTTAATATTGTATTACAGAATACTAAGTATCAACCCAAGGAGTTGTCAGATATTTTATCATCCGTTACAATAAAAGGATCCAACCATGTAATATCAGGTAGAACATAGGTAATTATCGTGTTAAATAAACTCATCATAGATACCAGGATTAAAATTTTGTATGCCAGACGCGTGTTTCGTCTACGAAAGATTCATCAGTGACGAGACAAAAGGAGACAAAAAAACCTCGAAGATCAATACTCGATTGGTACAGTCCATGTACATACTTTAAAGAGTCAAGATATGTACGAAGATTAAAAAAATAAGGAAAAATGAACTCGGCGTGTGAGAATTAACTGTTAAGATTATTCGGAAAGGTAGCCATATAACTCTTTGCGTGCGACGCATTTATAAAATCTTATAAATTTGGGAAGTACCAAGATCAGTTAAAGTATTTAAAACATCGAGGAAAATATATGTTAGGTCATTTGGGTCACACTTGCATAAAAAGCCCTTTGCGAAACCAGCCAGTTTTTAAAAATCTCGTACAGCTACTGGAATGCTTAAAATCCCTCTTACACGAAACGAACACGAGAACGAACGATTTAAATGAATCAGAAACGGATACAACCATTTATATCGTTGATTAAATTCAAATCGTTTTTGTCCGCTCGAAGTCGTGTGTGAACGAAACGATTAATATATTCCACTTGCATAAAAAGCCTTAAAGAAACCAGCCAGTTTAAAAAAAAAATCACTTACATGTTGCATGTATACTTGATTTCAGAGTTCGTTTTAAAAGGAATAAATATTGCTGTCGGTAGGCGATATTTCACTACAGTCACTGCATGTAATACAGCTGACCTTTGTTCTTCTGTCAGTTCTGATGGAGTTATTATTGACGACAGTCCTCCAAATATTGGAAAAATAAAAGACGGAGCAGATTATACCGACATTCACTATCAATCTTCCAGGTATTTAAAAGGGGTTTACAGAATAGGCTTTAAAAATTCAAAAATCTGTATGTTTCTAGGGATATATAGATTCTACCACTGCGTTTTAAATTTAAAAATTAAACTGTCTCGAGTAGATAAGTATCGTATTGCACGAGATTTGGTGGTGGAATCTATTTCTCTAATGATTTTTAGACGATATGCAGACAATCTTAATCCTTCTTTTCGAATGATCTGCAAAACGATGTGTTCTTTTAATGTGACGTCATGGTCATGGTCGCCTTTTCATGACGTCACAATAGGAAATTCAGAGGAAAGCAAGAAACTTTGGCGTCATAATCGAATTTTAACCGATGAAGAACTGATATTAAAAGAACCCCACGTTGATTAATTAAAAATAATCAACCGGTCAAGAAAAGGATAAATCAGATAAGAAATAGAGAAACAATTATACAGAAAGAATAAGCAATAACGTAATAGCCATTTTCTAGTTGACATCCTAAATTTGTAATAATGGAACTATAAACGATTAAGTGTGTCAAAGACAAAATGCAATGGAAACAGTTTAAAAATAGCTTGAAGAAGCAAAACGGAGAAAAAAGCATTTAAAAAAGATAACATAATCTTGGTGCTGTAGTTTTCGATTCAACACAAAATAAAATCAAAATTGGAAGAGTTGAATTAGAATATAATATTGCCTTCATGAAATATAAGTGCATTGCTATTTTGGGAAGTGTTCTAAAAAATTGTGATTGTTTTAATGTCAACATATGAATAATTTAATATGATTTTAGATCATATGTAGCTGCAACTTGGCATGGTTTTAACGATCCACAATCTGGTTTGGATAAATACTTTATCAGAGTTGGAACACGTATTGGAGGAAATGATATTATATCACACATTGAATTACCTTTGACAGATATAGTTGTGTTTCCGAATATAATTGAACCAATTCCAACTAATACCAGAATCTACGTAACTGTCCGTGCATACAATAAAGCCGGTACTATGCATATTACTGATATTGTTATAATGATAAATTTTACACCTCTTGTCTTAATTGTTTTACCTCGTTTAAACCTCTATACTCTTATAATTATCTATTTATCTTAATTTTGTTTGGAAAAACGACCCATTAGGAGTCTGATCGACATAATGTTTCTTATAGTTTCATTCAAAATTTCATATACAAAACTGTCAAAACGATATGCAACACCAATTTTAATTGATAAAGTATATATTTTAAAATCTCGTTTTTGTCAAATGGATGTTAACACAATATCAAAAGAGTCTGTTTCTTGACATTTTGGTTAATTTTAACCAACTCGACAAATGAAGGATACAGAAGATTTTATAACAAAAAGATACGTAAATATCAAGTAACACAACCTCAGACGATAACTGAAAATTAAGATTCCAGTTAAATATCAAAATCATGATATAAAATTTTTTAATTCTAATGCATCAAATGTGGATACGATTACACATCACTCTGTTGTAACAATATTGCTGTAGGATTATAAAATATTGCTATATTTATAGAAAAACTGAATATTACGAACAAAAAAGTATTTACAAAAATACCGTACAGGCATTTTCCGATAAAAATGGTGGTTAAACCTGGTTTTATAGCTAGCTAAACCTCCCACTTGTATGACAGTTCTTTATAGTTCAACTATATTGACAAAACTGGGTAAGTAATCAAAACAGAAATAATTGGTTTACTTGGGATCCACATGCACTAAACACATACAGCACAACTGACTTCAAAATTTAAACAAACATACAAATAACTCTGACAAAAACGCAAACAAAATTGTTTTGTAGTTGATAGTACATAAAGTACAGTAAACATAATGACATATACACTTTTCCCATAAATACATGTTTTAAATTATATAGGTCTTTACTCTGAAGCGACATCAAATGGTGTCTTGATTGATGATTCCCCTCCAACCTTCACTCGCAAACCTGAATTGTTTGAGCAGTTGGGATCCATGATGGAACACTCAATTATTTATAGGAGTTGTCTGAAACTCTCATGGGAAGTTAGTGACAAGGAATCATACATTGAAAGACAGTATATATCAGTAACCTCCCACAGAGGTGGTGAAATCAATTCAACTTCTACAGAGGTAATACATTTCAGAAATTATATAGAGAGGCGAAAGATACTAATGGGATATTCAAACGCATAATTCGAAAACTAACTGACAATGCCATGACAAAAATTGAAAACGATCATCAGGTGCACCGGAATGATAAGCATACCCTGCTCCACATGTGGCACCAGTCGTATTGCTCATGTAAGTACTAACCCGGTGTAAAGTCTTATTCGGTATGTCACATTCAAGGATTATATCTTAGATTGTAAAATAATAATCTAACTATTTTTTAAGGATGTACGCTACTCTGTTTCAAAATAACAAGATTTTCAAAAGACTGTTCTAAAATGATAGTATATAGATAAAGGAACTAAAAAGCAGAACAAAATGAAGGGTCCGTGTGCTTGTTTTCAAGATAAAAGCCATTGAAAATTTGGCGGGAAATGATTCTCTCTAGATTTTTTTTAACATACTTTTAACATTGGCCGCTTTTTTGTTTCAAAAACTATGAAAAAATAACAAGAATTTTATAAGATTTTAAAATATGGCTTTTTAAACTATATGTGATAATATTATGAAAGAAAAGTAGGGGTTAGTGGCCAAATTTTTTAATGGCAATACATGGATAAAACCAGAGGATTCCGAAAATCTGGCAGAAATTGAAAAACAAGAGGAGCAAACATCCTAAAAAGGTGTTACTGTTATATTATTCCATATGGATTGAAAAAGTTTATTGTTTGTTAAACATAAAAGAGTCTGCGTTTCTGATAGAAATGTGTTCTATCATTAATTAGCTGTTCGAAAATGTGTAATAACAATTTCTGTCCCTTGGTCAAAAGTGTAGTTGTCAGCTTTTTTTCCTATAAATTAATCAAACAAATGCAATATTCATGTTAAATATGTTGTGAAATGAAAGCAAATAAACTGTTTTAGATTATACGACTCTTGAATATGGTTTCTCATAACTGTTTATGGTGATATATGCTTAATTATACCTTTCAATTCCGATAAAAATGTATATATTTTGATCGAAACGGAAAAGAAATTGAAGGTCCGCAAAAATGTACTTTTAAAGATGAATTTGTACTTTATGTATTTTCTAAAGCCTTGGTAATATAGCTACTCAAGAGAAAAATATGTAAATACTAAAACAACTAAAACACAAATGAGTCAACTATTGTAATAGCCAGGGTCATGGTCCCTTTTCAAAACAGCGAAAACCATTTAACACTATTTCGTAGTTTGCAACTTCAGTGGAACAAAAGTACTAGTAATATACCATAAGAACATGTCTTATATTGATGGTATATCATGACCATTATCGCAAATCTTCATTAAAACTTACCTTTGAGATACATTTTCTTACAATTTTGTTTGATTAATTATGGTTTGGTTTGACCTTATTTGAATATATACTCTTTTCCCCTTCGTCATTGACTTTTTTAATACTAGTATTTATGAGGGGCCAAACAGGTCGCTTTTAATCTTATTACTGACATTGCATGGCCAGTAAGTATATACTGTGATTACAGGCATATATAAAATTATATTGAATTCAAGACAACAGAAAAATGCAAAGTTAAAACGCAAAAATGGATCGGTTGCTATTATTGATTGCAAAGTATTCAGGTATGTACAATTTGAAGATGAATAAGTCATGTGGTTTACTTTGTTATCTTTTACAACAGCTAAATGGAATCGTCCGTGATTATACTTATACCAGATTGAATCTTCACGATGGTGGCAAATACTTTGTTACTGTTATTGCATGTAATGGGGCTAAAGTTTGTGTAAGAGAGATATCTGGCGGTATTTTCGTCGACAACTCACCACCAATTGCAGGTAATAATATTAAAATTCAAAATCATGTTTTTGATGAAATTCCTTTTTTTTCTAGTTTTATGGTTTATAGTTTTTTTTTTTATAGTAGTGTAGTTTACTGACGGAGATTTCCCCTATTCATAAAGAGGAAAATATTTTCTCCCGATATTAATAATATAAAAACACACCAATTATTCAGTTCAGATGTTTTTAAAAAAAACCATCAATTGCTGAAACGTAAAAAGAAAGTAGATTTGTAGCAAATCTTGCTCAAAATCATTATTTGTTGAAACATTTTGCAATGAAAACATATATCAATATATTATTTTTAACATATAATGATTTGAAGGAACGTTTGCTATTGAAACGGACCATGCTGCTAAATTAAATCGTCATGTTGATGGTTGGTGGATGAAGTGGTCAACATTTAAAGTATGGTTGTCATGGATAGGATTCTCTGATCTTCATTCTGGTATAGACTATTACATGGTATCGGTTGGTAGCAGATATATGCTGGATGATCTTAATCGTGTAAGATTTTAAATTAATAATATAATGACTGTAATTTTTCCTCTTACACATTTCCATTAAGAATAAAGAACATCGTCTTATAGATGTAAAAATAATCGAACTTCATCAAATTATTTATTGCTATTTCAACATTCAAAATTCACCTTTTACGCTCTTAAACAATAGTCAAGAACATCATACTGAAGATGAGGATATACATGTGTATAAATACGAGAAGTTGACGTTTTCAAGAGTTTACCTGACCGCATCCTGTTTCAAAACTTTTCTTCAGCAGTAATTAAATTTAATTGTTTATTCAACATTGGTTAGTATCTATTCACACGTTGCCTAAATGTATCCAATTGTATGTTTTCTTATTTAATTTATATCTGGATTTCCACTTGCAAAAAGGAGAGGTATGTTACAAAAACACACATAATACCCCAAAAATAGAATTTGTAAATGCAATAGTAAAATTTATTTATGGATTGGACTTTATGAACATCTGCGTTAAGAATAAACAATTTCAAACATTATAGTACAAACAAATAAAACAAGCTTCCTTTTATTTATGTATATTTGTATCTATATTTTATGAAGCCCAATTGATAAAGAAACCGGGTGAAGTTTCGTGTGCGTTTACTTATGTTCCATAATTTTAGTGCATATGTATGTTTGTAGGATAATAAACTAGAGAAATTTCACCACAAAGGTGATGGTGTAGACAAGGGAGACGAGGGGAAAGTGCAAACTTTTGAAGTAGATACTATAAAATTAACTGACTACGATTATGTGTTCATCAGTGTTTGGGCATTTAATAAAGTAAGACATTAGATACGAGGCAACATTAGTTTATCGATATACAAATCTCTTCAATCTATTTGTAATATACAAACAGATCAAAACAATCTTGGGGAATATCAGAAGCTCAAAAAAAAGCAAGACCGGTAACATATACAAGGTAAGCGCCTCCTGCACAGCAGGTATCATTTGATAGCTAATTAACTAAAATAAATGAATGGGCAATAATTAAAAATTCAAATTCAAACTAAAAACACCGTTACTATAAAGGACACGCTGAGCTGAAATACGTTTATCTTTAATTATTTAACTTTTCTTGTCAATATGAATTTACGATATACCATAGAACAAACAAAACTATCAAATGGGAACTTATTGTAACCAAATACGATGATATTACGGATATCATTATAAAATATAATTATTAAAATTCTTGCATTCATTTGTTCATCACTTTTAATTTGGGTGTTCAATTCCAAACATTTCAAGTGATTACTCGAGCTTGGGCAACATAACTTGTTATTCGTTTATGTGGAGATACATGTTACTCTCTACCTTCCACCTGAATACATACAATGGTGCAATTCCTTGGGAATATTCGTATTATGTCACCATACGCCATCATGTTTTATTTTTCGACAGGCATATTTGCCTGCAGCTATATATGTAACTATAACTCAACATGCTGTTTGTTATAACTAACAGTTGGCGTATGGTGACATAATACGAAAATATATCGTTCATCTTATGAATGTGAACAAATCTACTACCAAAAATTGTGGGTTATTTATTTATTTTATTTAGGTTGGACTTCAAAGTGACATGATTCATAACCAATTCCGCTTGATTCCTGGTGGCTCACTTGAATTGATAAGACGATGCTCTTCTAGTACATGTCTAGGACACTGTGTATGTGCACCAAAAGATCATAGATGTCCTATTCAGGAATCGCCTTGTGTAGACAGCACACAAAGTAAGATTTGTTTAAAGTATTCTTTTAATGCTCTATCATATGGCTGTATTTGTATCTATTTTTACTGTATATACCTGACATGGACAGTAAATTACTATAATATTTAGATCATAACAATAAAAAAACACCTAGGTTAATAAAAAAGCAAATAAAGATAGCACAATGATCAATCGAAACAAGATGAAAAGAAGAACAAAAAAATATACACAGTAAACTAAAGATGAGCAACACGAATACTACTGAAAATGTAGATTTACTAAATGCTCTAGAAGTAGTAAACGATTTCCACCTCACATATTACACCATCGTTTATCCCATGTTTATTCTCCATAAAATATCGGTAATCATACATTATTTGATAACGAATCTGGAGCTGTTTTTTTTTTATCTTACTTTGTAACATGAGCAAATGTATAAACCATTGGTACAAGCAGGTGCATCTCTGCATATGACAATATATTAGACCTGAAATAGAAATGCTATATAAAAGAAGAAAGGACAATTACTGATCGGATCAACACAAACAAAATAAAATTTCCTATTAACAACAAGGAAAAAAAGCAAAAGCCACGTGTACTTAAGTGTAACATCGCGAACTCAAGTAAATAAGGTGGTCAGAAGTTCTTACTTCCGTGGTGGCTGTAGAAGTGTTAGCAGTAACAGTAGAAAATCTTGCAATAAGTTTTATTCTTCATTTTAGTCAAGGAAACAATTACGAAACTGTGTTAACGAAACATTGAACTTATCTCGTGCTTAGCTAAGATAACAAAGTCATGTCAAGGGCAGATCTTTATTGTTATATAAACCGATATTTGGCATCCGGGTGTATCGAAATAAGACGATGTAAAAGGTACCATCAGGATCTAACTATTGCACTGACCTGCCGCAGTGCGATTTGACATATAATGCATGTAACATTTAAATCATGACTAGATCATTTTGTTTGTATAACATCTGACAACACGGTTAAATGTAACATATTACTTTGACCATAGGAGTAACATTGTAAGATTGCGTTCATAAAAATCAATAAGATATAAATTTGTAGTCAAAATTTTTCAACTTCAAATAGAATGTTGTTTCACAAGTTTCATGTAAAGTCTTCATTTTGAATTGTGGATCCCTAGTTTAAATATTATCTGTGTCGATTTTACAGAATAAAAAACCATATATCAATTGTCATCTATTTGAAGTTTTGTACAGTATAAATGTTATTATGTTTAACAATTTTTAGATAATACAAACACCTTAATTTCAATTTATGATCTGACTGATTTACAACAAGGGGAATCAGAGGATATAAACTTTACGCCATCACATGACGCGCTAGCAGCTAGATGGAGAATAGTTCAAATTCAGGGTTTATTACCACAATGGTAGGTAAAAAATGTTTTTATAAAGAGTAAATATAAATGAGAGATTTTATTATATTATGCAATGAACACATGGCTTGTAAGTGTTAACAACATGGCAATTCCTTGAACTCCTATGATATGATTATTTCATACATTATGTTTGATAACCAACATTTGATTTAGATTGAGTCAGCATAACATTAAGCTAATATGTTTGGATTCAGTTATTACAAGTATTACATGTATATAAAAATGAAAACCTGGTGCTAGTACTTTTTCGGCGAATCCATCAATGTATAATTGTACATGCATTTTATGGTAACTATATAATATTGTGATTGTAAGTTAGTAAGACAAAATGAATACACTTTGCATAGGTGGTATTGTTACTCGAGTTGCTGGAATAAACTTGAAGAAATCTGCAAATACATTACAATCCCATTACAATACACAGGTTGTGAATTTATCTTTTTAGCAGAGCACGCTGCAATGAGGGTATATGATCAAAAGTGTGACTAAGATATTAATGGGAATACTTGGCATAGGAAATTTATCTAGAAATCGAAAAAAAAAAACCAAACCGGATAGATTGATAAGATGACTTGATCACAGAAACTAAATGAACTCTTAATGAGATTGATATTTTTGAAATAACTGAGTAATGATATGTCTGTATAATTGTGCTACCATAGTCATATTCTTAAAAGAAAACATAGTATGCAGGTCATCGTGTTAGTTGGACATATATGTTCATGTTAATTTGTTGTTTTACTGTAAAAAAAAAAGGTGCACAATTTTGTTGACATACTTAATATATACGTGCATTCGACATACGGATAACTGAAGCACACTACAGAAATTTACTGAAAGCTTTCAGAAACTAATTCAAGTTTATCACATTCAATTTAGAATTATGTGCAAAACAGTGTAGCCGAGACCATTGATTGACGCGCTGAAATATCCCATTGACTGGGTCAGATTAGGTGAACGTTCGTCTGTAACGCCCACAACTCACGACGTATTTATTATAAACATTTAAACTGTGGGGTTGCCAAAGGGTCTCAGTATATATACGAACTACAGTGCACAGTATATTATATACATATTTTATTTGCGATCATAAAATGTACGAAGTCGTCCATTACTATGTAAATTGGGTCGATTAAAAAAAAAACTGAATATGTTTCTGTTGCCAAGGGTTTTTCACAAGTATAGTAGTTAGCAGAAAAGAGCATCAAACTATACATTTTATACTGAACTGCGGCCAAGCTTAGCGAAAGGTCGTGCAACAATAATCAGTCAAACAAACTTTATTAGATTAACTCGTTAAGGAACGATCGTTTTCATTGGTCAATTCAAACCTTCGACCTCACACCTGCGAAAATAGAACACGCGTACTATAAAGCTGAATGGACTGATCAGTATTCACGTAGCCGATCAAGGTCGTTAAAAACTTCCATCGTCATATTCACGTACATGATTGTGTTCTTGATTATCCCATGGCAATTCTAGCTTTTATACATGTGCATGTAAAATTTTAAACTTTAATCTTAACAGTCACGTCGAAATATTTAATTCAACTGTCTCCTCTCAATTGGTTCTGGATTAAGGGAGCTACCATTTTATTTTGATTGGGGGTGGGGGACTTGGATGAAACATTTTGTCCTGCATTTTTTTTAGTTGTTATCTCTGTCCTGTCTTTCTATTTTTCAGTCTGTTAGGTCCTGACTATATTTATTAGTTTATCCTGATTTTTTTACATAAATCGTCATCCTGCCTTTTTTTTGTCAAGTTGCTCACCCTGCCTTATCTTTTATTCAATGGAATTGATGAATTAACGTTGTACTTGAAATGAAACCGTACTTAACTACAAAAATAACCAAATTACATACTAAAGATATTGCTCGATTTTTATAGTAAATGGGTTTGTGTTATAAACTGTCATGTTCATTATTCATATTCTTTCATAAGTTTTAGGATAGTGTGATTTTTTTTTCTGATTTAGTTTACTTGATTTTGAAAAAAAAATCCCGAAATTCTAAGTAAATTCAGAACATGTAACCAGTCATGCTTTGTTTAGAGAAAAAATGGAGATGGCAAACCATGGCACAGTGGAAGGAAATGTACTTTATAAACTCCAGCGATATACTTTCTTAATTTATAATTAACTGTTTTGCTATCCTCGGTTGAAAATTATATATTGTAAATATTTAAATAGTTGCATAGAAAACAATCAGTTTTAAACAGTGTGGTTATTCACTAAATGTATTGATAAAAGGTGACTCCATTTTTGTACATACTTTTACAGTAGTCATCCTTAATTTCTTAATATTTCGATTATAAGTTTATCATACATGTATTTCATTTTAATACGCACGCATGCCACACGTTACTTTGGCGGATAGTTCAACAATGTTATGCAAAGCTCTATTCTTACGGTATGAAATTAAAGGATAAATTTTCAACCAATTAAAATCGAAAACAGTACATTTATATAGTTCCTTATAAAAACGACATTTCTCACAAGTATTTATTTATTTTTTAGTTCCACACATGCAAAAATAAAATCTTCGCCGATAAAACATTTCAAACCTTTTTACACCAACATGCCTTCACTGAATTCATTTGAATTTCGTGGTGACCATGATAGTACATTGCATAGTACATCTATATTCACGTGCACACATGATACGATCTTTCGGGGACAATTTGCTCGTTTATGACACGTCATTTCTGAATGACCAAACGCTTAGCTACTTTATTTTCGTTTTATAGCATGAAAACAATAAAAGAGGAATGTGCAACCCATCATAAATTTGAAATGGATCAGTATTATGAGATCCTTATTATAAGTAACTACGACATTGTCAGGGTAATAACCTAGCGTCAATATGAAAGAAATTAAAGTGGTTCATACATTCATCCGTATAAAAGCGGCACATGTATTTTATTTTATCCTTATATTTTTCATAGTGCGGTACAAGTGCTGCATGCATAAAGAATATTACTTGACACAAATTATTAGTATAATATTTCGACCCCACTATTTGAAATTCACAAAATACTTATTTAATTATTTCGACCAAAAATCATTGTTTTTTACGTTCGTAGTAACGTAGTACATTCCATTGTCGGTCATCTGTGTCAATTCACGTGCACACTACAATTGTTGTTGTATTTAAATCTTTCGGCCAATGAAATTAGACGTTACAAGTTGTTTGTTTGTGATACGCCAGAATGTTATCAATGAATTATCAATCGCTAAACTTGACTGCATTTCAGTGCACCTATTCAAAAACTTAAATGCAAATTTCACAAGGCTTGATCCAAATAGCCTTTTTACTGTCTAATAACTTGCAAGTATGAAAAAGACAGGAAAGAAGTATATTTTGTTTATATGTTTTGTGTTTGCACACTTTTTAAAGTTGATCATGCATTCGTTCAAAAATAAAATTTTGACCAGATAAAAGTTAAAAGATGACATATTTGGACAACCGCAATTGTTAAATCGCTTTGACGTCCGAAAAAAAGATAATAATCAACAAATCCATTGTAACTTTTAAAGCCAGTTAAATCCTTTTTTGCTGAAAGAACGTCCGATATCATAAAAATTCATTATCAAAACATAACAAAAACACAAGTAAAGAACGTTTAATTATTCAATATAAATCAAAACACAAAGGTTATTCCTGATTAGTTTTTCGAATTATTTTATTTAGGCGTTGAGACCCTTTGGTGACCCCACAGTTTAAATGTCTATAATGAATACGTCGTGAGTTGTGGGCGTTACAGACGAACGTTCACCTAATCTGACCCAGTCAATGGTCTCGGCTACACTGTTTTGCACATGATTCTAACAATATACACATCTGAATTTTATGTTGCCTTCAGGTATGAATGGAGTGTAGGAATAACAGACTCTAATGAACCAGAAGGGATAATTGACGGCTCTGTGGAAAATATTTGGCATCCTTGTGGTCAAATAGATTATGCTATCTACACTTTACCTAGGGGTAGCTGTACATTTATATATTAAAATTGAGAATGGAAATGGGGAATGTGTCAAAGAGACAACAACCCGACCAAAGAGCAGAAAACAGCCGAAGGCCACCAATGGGTCTTCAATACAGCGAGAAAATCCCGAACCTGGAGGCGTGCTTCAGCTGGCCCCTAAACAAAAATATTTACTAGTTCAGTAATAATGGACGTCATACTAAACTCCGAAATATATAAAAGAAACTAAAATTAAAAAACACGACTAACAAAGGCCAGAGGCTCCTGACTTGGGACAGGCGCGAAATGCGGCGCGGTTAAACATGTTTTTTGTACATTTATTGGACCTATTAAACATTTTGATTTTCAGTAAATGTAGTTTTAAAATGGCCCAACAACTAACAGTACCACTACTTACCAGAAAGACAATTCCCGGATTTACCTATCTTATTTCCTTGCATAATATGATTTTATAGGTCTGTACGTAAATATGTCATTTTTCACTATGAAATCAAAACTCAACAATTAATAAAGAATATGATTTTAAATTTGAAGTGTTAAAATGTGTACAAAAATCAATTCGATAGTTTTAGATGAAGAAAAGAATGTTCAGAGAAGAGTTTAAGATTAAGATAAAATGTTACATTATAAAAAAATAAACAATATGCACAATTTCTGTAAAAGAAATGTTGCAAAACTATTAACAATATTTAAGTCATCAACTGCAACTAGGCAAAAAGGTGCAATCCAACCTACCAACAACATTTAACTCGATTTATATTAACTTTCTTTGAATAATTCTCACATCATTGTCGTCATGTTATTTCTAGTTGGCACTAGTGCTATTGAATTAAATTACCTCGGGTAAGGCCCTCGAATTAGCAATATGACGGACTTTTTAACACATTTACAAGACAAACATCAAATGAACCGATTACTATGACAACGCTTTCAGAAAATAGTAGGATAGAGGAATTATATAGTATGACTAATATGTAATATTTAAATATTGACTATATCATTTATAAATCTGAAAAAAAAGTGATGGACTATACTATACCATATACATATATGAAATGGACCACTCGGAGAATTACATACATAACTGTTGTATACATTTGTTTACTTTTCGATAATACAAAAAAAATTAAATTAAAAAGGCATCAAATTCTTGAAAGAAATTATATAGAGCATGATTTCGGCTATGTCTATCAGTATTTTTATTTATGAAATTTATATATTTGACTTTCATTATTTTGTTAAAACATTAAATTAACAAATAAGAGTAATACTGATGAAAAACTGAGTACCCCTTGCTAAAACATTTATATTTATTTTTGGAGTTTCAGCAACATGTGTTTCTAGTTATAAATTCCAGACACCAATTATTTATGGCACCCATTTTTCTAATAAATTCTGACATTTCAAATAGTGATCAATTCATAAATAGCACATTTGTTCCAATAATGAAAATAAAACTTATTTAATACGTAATTATAAATGATATCAAAAGACTAACTATACCATATATTTTCTTCGTTGAAAAATATTTAAGATTATCTTTTGATCAGTGTTAAGGCTGCTGGAAGATACTTTTAACGTAAAATTCAGAAATGAAGATGATTACTGAAAAAAAGGGTATGACCAACATGTATGGTACTCATATTCTAATATGATAAGCGACACTAGTTTTCACCATTATTGTTCAGAGAAAATATAAAAGTCAAAACAGGATGAAAAACGTAAAGTATGGTCAACAAAATTTCTAAAATGTAATATTAATAGTATGGTTACCAACAAAAGTCATCATCACATTCAATTAAAGCGAGAAAAAAAAATAGTTATCAGTTTCCGGTATAACAATGAAAAACACTTAGTCAAGGCTTAAAATATGCATTTGTGTTTGCTTAAAAAATATCTGCATGGGGAACCTATTGTTGCCCTTTTTCCCCGTGATTAATAAAAAAAGTACTTCAGTCACGAAACAAGCAGTTTTAAGATATAATATGATTGCTTTTTTTATAGCACCAAATAAGAAAAGTTTCAAACATTAATGTTCAGCACACAGTAGGTCAGTAGCATATGGTAAAAACAGGAATCATATTTGACGGTGATTATTGTATTTCAGGAAATGTTCTAAATGACTTTCAGACATACTCATTCTTTGTAAGAGCATGGTATGACAGCAACACTTTTGCTGACTTCAAATCTAATGGTGTAACAGTTATGTCAAAACCTCTGACGACAACGAACTTTGTTGGCACAGGGGTAAGGAATTTATCGACCGTTGATGAAGATGAAGACACTTTATATTTAGCACAGATAAAACATTGCATTGCTTTACTTGTCTGAATAAGAAGTACACTTAAAACATAGTTTATCGTCATGAATGTTAATGTAAAAAACATTTCTCCGTTACCGAATCTAAAAGACTGTAGGGTATTTGATTGTTCATAACCCAAACTGAAAATAACATCACGTCATTGGTTTTATGTACATTGTTTATAACGTTTTTAACCAATCCACAACGTTTGTGTGGACGCTTTTGAAAATATTACCAACAAAACATTAGATTCTAAAACGGCGAATTTGTCACATTCAGGAAGACATACATTACTTGCTTATATGAAACATTTTTAAAACAATATTAAATATGTTAAAATATGTTAGAAATTATACTTCAAAGATGATAATAATGTGAATGTGGTGCAAAACATGTGCAAAAGAAGGATAGTTGTAAAAATCATAGTTTGCTAAATTGTATGGAACATAGTTTGACACGATGAATATGAACAAAACTGAGAACAACCAAACAGCTCCCTCTAGTCGAGATACATTAATACAGTTTTACTGCACCTGTTCAGCCAAATATTGTGTGGAGGAATTAATATTGTTGGACATCGTTTATTTATAAAATAAGTTAAAAAAACTAATACAGTTAGTTATAAATTTAGGTAGTGGAACATTTACCTGACCACTGGAAGAAGGATATTGATTATATGTTAAGAGGAGGATTATTTTCTGTTTCTTGGCATAAAGCATTTGTAAAGGCTAGCACTGTTATAGAGAAATTTCATGTTTATTTGAGTACCTACCCGGGTGGTATGTATTATATTCAATAGCTTTAATAATGTATGTTTAATATTCCACTGATCAATATAAAATGGATAAGATTGAGTGCCTTAAAAAACTAGTTTTGATCCTATACAAAGATAAAAATCTAATGCTTATCTTTCATCTTAATTATTTTGTCCTTGCAGGAATTCGAAATTGATTATGATACATTATATTATATATATATATATATCATGATTTGATCTATTGATTGAAATATTGTTTAAACTAATTAGGGCTTCTCTGGATTTACATTTAGCAGGAACGCTCTCTAACACAAAGTATTTGAAAGCTAAGGATTTATAAACAGTACATAAAAGTTCTTTTACAAATATGTTTTAGTACATGTAATTCATCTCCCCCAATACAAGTTGGGTCTGGGAAGCCTTGTCAAACATTTTGTCGGTAAGGCCACACAAGGTATGCAGTTTTGGTTACAAGAGGGACGCAAATAACGAATCTGATTATATTCAAACAGCATAACTTGGCAACTACCCTAAAGTTTAGTAGGGAAAAGACCTGGCCTAATTATTTATCGAGGATCCTAAAGTTTTTACTGTTTTCATTCATAACAAAAAATGTATTGTTTATCAGAAAACATTTTTATTTCGGTAATCTACATGAAATTTCCCCTGAACAAAAACCAATTTAAGCTGGGTCAATGGAACCCCTGCCCTTTTTAATGGAACCAAAACAAATATGCTACATTTTAGGGTTCAAGAGGGGATGCAAATAACATACAAATCTTTATTTTCCAGCAGTATAAATGATCTTTCCCCCCTTAGACGGAATCTTCATCACCATTATCAGATCTCTAGATTCGAAAAATGAAGTTCTTTATACAAATGCTGATAAAGAGATCGAGAGTTTATGTTTTATAAACAGAGCATAAGATTTCATACTGTAAAGATCAAATGCAATAATGAAATATAATTACAAAGAGAAAATTTGTTTTGAAAAGTTGTTGGGTAACATGCAATTAACAATTATTTACCAGGAACAATATGGTGTACTTCCTTCTTATCAAATATTGCTACGTTTGTTTCTTATTGTACTAAACTTACAGAAACGTGTATCTTTTCATAATATAGTTTTCGGTCACCTTTATTACACATAAATAACAAGTTTTCTGGTAATTTTTAATGTTCATACATAATTATTTTCAATATACACCTCCTCATTGAGATTTAGTGTACCTAACAAACACATTTCTTTCAGGTCATGACATACACAAAGTTGAAATAGATATTCCAGGATCAGTATCAACGGTTAATATTAGCCGAGTGCCCCTGTTACCCGGTGTTAGGTATTATTCTAATGTGGTTGGTCACAGTTATGCTGGACAGCACGTGACACTGTCATCAGATGGGTTCACCGTAGATATAGATAAACCTTTCATCGGAGTTGTACATGATGGCATCGGTTAGTGTAGTTATGGTTGTCTTATAAAAGTAATGAAACTATAATGTATTTGAAGACATTAATTTGAATTTGCATAAATAATTGCATACTAGTATCTCAAAAAGCGAGACTTCGTTTTCGTTAACAGGTTATTTTCCATAGTAAAATCTACATAAACATAAATTGATATGAAAATAATGTGATATCAACATTTTCAAGAACGAAACGTATTAAGATTCGAACTATTGTTCTTAAATTATCAAATGGTTAAATTTTTTTTTTAACTTTTCTGTCTGTTGCAGTGATAAAATGAATTTTACTTTTTATTTTTTGGAGGTATATACTCTGTAAAATGTATAAATATGATAGGGTTTATTTATCCTATAAATTTATTGTTATATTTATAATTTTTCTCAAGAAAATGTTTTCCATAAACATTTTCATATTCTCTAGGACACAGAGAAATTGATTTTCAAAACAGTTCGCAGGTTGTTGGTGCATCCTGGAATGGTTTTGTAGATCACGACTCTGGTATTCAGAAGTATTATTGGTGCGTTCAAAATGAAATCACCGATACGGAATGTGATGTGCTTCCTTTTCAGAATGTTGGTATTCACAGATCAGTATCCAAATATATAAACTCTTCTATGATACACTCAGGTAATAAATTAAGGCAACAGAAGTCTATCGATGGCCAAATCTCACAAAATAAGTAAGAAAACATATTGTAACCATAACGTTTGCATGAAACTTACATTCAATTATTTAACAAAATGCACACTTCTTTCATATGTATCGATTCAGTTAATAGTTATCAGAAGAAACTATTCATTATTAAGTGTAATAAGGTATTGCAATAGAAAGCAGAAGCGAATTGAACTGGAAAATAATCAAACACATGTAATGATAAATAATGCCATTTATAGTAAAAATGAAGTAAAATTTCCGACAGAAATGAATTATTCTGGTCAATATAACAAGTTCATTTTATATTCTAGGGGCTAAGGTAGTCAGTAAAGTGTATGCTGTTGATTTTGTTAGCCATGTATCGGACATTGCAACATCGGACGGTATTACAATTGATGAAACCCCACCAAAACCGGTAAAGCTGATTTTAACTGAAAATAGTGTGATAAAGAATCCATCATTTGAAGACGGTGATAATAATTTCGTAGATATTTCAAACATTTCTACAGTTAATATTTGTGGATATTCAAAACCATATCACTGGAATTCTTCCGAAAAGGATTGTATTTGCGTAATGGGTTCTTCAAAATCTATTGCTATGGATGGTCGATCATTTTTATTTCTCAGAGGAAGTGTATTGCAGGCATTATATAACTTAGAAATAGGCAAATCTTATAGTTTCAAATTCTTTACTGCTCACGTCCCCTTTGAAGATTCAGTGCTTTCTACAAAAGAAGGTTATATTGAACTTGGAAATGAACGACATGTGTTTCTTGTGTACCAAAAACAAGACAAACATGGTTCTGACATTGAAGTATCCTGGCATTCTCATACATTTTCCTTTACCGCAAAGACTACAAATGTGAATATTACATTTGGAAGCATGGACGACACAACAGGCATTTTACTCGATAACATTCAAATTTCTAAGGCTGAAGTATTTGATGTCGAGACGGACTCTTATCCAGTGTTATCTCACGCAATTTGGCTTCACGAATGGTCATCAATACATGCCTCGTGGCAATTTATTGATGAAGAAAGTCCTATTGTTGAATATCTCTGGGCAATTGGTAAGTTCATTTTAAGGTTTTTAAAATATTTATCAGAATTTATGTTTGGTCCAATCTTTAAAGCCAAAAAAGTTAAACATATTTTTTTTATCTATAACCTATATATAAAGTTTCCATGTAAAGTGGGAAATCTAGTGAACGAAAACAAAAGAAAATTCACTCTTCTTATGATAGAGTCGAGAAAGTCAATAATAAAACAATGCTGGTGACGATACTGATCAAAAGTTATTTCTAAATTATAATTTTACATTTTAAAGAAATTATAGGTTAAACTGTGTTATTTGAAATATATTAATGCAAATACACGATGTTTTATGTTCAGAATTTATCGAGATAATTGCATTAGAAGCTTGTAAAATTGAAATTTTAAAATTGGCAATCTTTGCTGCATACTGATAAAAAAATTGGAAAAAAATCATGTACATACAAAATCAAGAAAGATATTTCGGGTCACCAATTTTCGGAGTGTTCCACAAAATCCTTAGCATGTTAAAATTTCTCAAAGTATACTTATTTTTTTACACCTTGGTTACGAGCACACCGATCTGCTCTTGTCACATGTACATTCAATAGAGAAATATTGTCTTTTCGTGAATATAAAAATTTGAAAGTCCGTCTGTGCAGATTACGAAATTAAAGATAACTATTCTTATAAAGTAGGTATTTTTCTACTATTTATTTTTACAATTTTAAGAAAAGGTCGTCTCGATTTTTGAACATGTATTTGCGGTCTTCTCGATCTATTCACATTCAATGTTTGCATCGAGATAAGGTCCGTTTGAATTTGCTTAGTTACTTAATTTCAAAAGTGCCAATCTTTGCTGCATATCAATCGATTCCTTTGGAAATTTTTCCATGACTTTCTTTGATCAAGCTGTATAAATATACGGATAATTAGCATGTTCTAGAGAGGTATACAGTCAGTAGAAAAATAAATTGAAGTTGGTACTCCAGGAATTTATTCGCATAGCAACATTTTAAACCAATTCAACATCAAGCTTCTATAGCCTGCTGTGATCGTCGTTTGTTACTTAAGGAGGGAAATGATAACATTAAATGGAAGTTTTGTTTTTATTTCAACTTATTTCTATTTTTACTATTTACCAGAACGTTTTCCCGTGAATCCATAACTGAAAGCGTCCTTGCTAAAATGGGACAAACATTGAGAAGATCTAGTTGTCAGTGTTTCTAGGGGAGGTAATTTTTTGTCACTAGATTTCCCACTGATGTACCCATGAACCGATGTCCACAAACATAGGTTTTACAATTTATTTGAATGAATATAAAAAAAATAACAGTCTTATGATTTGGTACACAAGGCAAGCTTTTCTATCTATATACAACTCATCACTTGCGCTAGAATCACAACACTTGGAAAGTAAAATCAAATACTAAGTATAATACTGTGTTTGTGTAAAACTAGGGAACGAATTCGATGTTTGTATTTTGTAATTTTGACCGAAAGCAAGTCTTGGTCGCTCTGTTGTTTACTTGATTAAATACATTTTCTCTTGCATAAATTTGGAAAACAAATGTACGCAGTGGAAAATGAATCAGAATAACATGTTTGTACTGTGACATGGCTTCTTATTGATACTTATTATTTTTAGCTAGCATGCATGTTAAACAAAATAATCTTTTAAAATCATGATGCACTGCCTATATTTCCTTTGTGTTGTTTTTAATTGATAGATTGTAAGTTAAAGGGGAAAATATTTAGGGGCATTAAAAACTCAAAAGTCGAAGAGTTAAATGTAAAAGTTAATATATACATGTACAAATGTAGCTTACTACATAAGTGGTTTCTACAGAAAAACAATTCCTGATGTATTTTTTGTATCATTAACTGAAGAAATAGCCTTGGCTTATGACAATAATAGTTGGAATCTAAATCAGACGATTTAATATTATTCGTAGTTTCATTGTTTGATTTCAATATTGTGTATGATGTACGTTTGCATGCATTATTAATCAAATTTGCATTATCTGAAAGGTTACAAAGAAGGAAGCACAGAAATGCAGAAATATACAAGTGTTGGACTAAACACATTCGCATACAATTATAATATTTCATTAGCACATACGTCTACAATTCACATAACAGTTGTTGCCATCAATGGTGCTGGGTTGTCTTCAGTAGCCACAGCAGAAGCCCTTTATATTGATCTGACACCTCCTGATATAAAATTCATTTATGATGGAATTGGTAAGTACAGAAGATAATCAGTTTAATCAGTAAGACACCGGCCGTTCCTTTTTTTGGTGGTTCATGGCTTTTTTTTCAAAAGAAAACCTTTTTTTTTTACTGTAGCCAAAATCGAAATTCAAGGTTCTAGTATTTTCCCCCAAATTTTCAATGGAAAATATTATTTTTTTCTTTCCTTTTGATAAACATTTTATTTTTTAGAAACGTAGAATTAATCATTTTATTTAAAATATAACCCACACCCCAATAAAAGATAAATATTTGATGCCCTACATCATACCAATACTACGAATGATATATTCTGAGACCATTAGATGTACGGGATAATATATTTTGTTAAGGAAATGAAATTATGGTCATTGATGTAGTGCATACAAAGGACAACAGAAATAAACGGAAAAAAATAAACATTAGAACATACTATACCAATTACATGCATCAGACTCCTACACAAAAATAGACGCACAAAGTCAAACAAAAACAATGAACACTTTAAAAAATTGAGAATGGAAATGGTGAATGTGTCAAAGAGACAACAACCCGACCATAGAGCAGACAACAGCCGAAGGCCACCAATGGGTCTTTAATGCAGCGAGAAACTCCCGCACCCGGAGGCGTCCTTCAGCTGGCCCCTAAACAAATATGTATACTAGTTCAGTGATAATGGACGCCATACTAAACTCCAAATTATACACAGGAAACTAAAATTAAAAATGATACAAGACTAACAAAGGCCAGAGGCTCCTGACTTGGGACAGGCGCAAAAATGCGGCGGGTTTAAACATGTTTTTTGAGATCTCAACCCTCCCCTATACCTCTAGCCAATGTAGAAAAAACAAACGCACAACAGTACGCACAGTAAAACTCAGTATAAGAGAAGTCCAAGTACATATAGCCAGACTTTGTTTTCGCTGTCTTTGATCTTTATATACCGATCTGTAAATTAACATAGTCCTGATAGTGATATTATGACTGAGTGTGGAATCGCATGGCGAATGATGCATGTATAGCAGGAGACGCTTACTTTGTCGATGTACCCGGTCTCACACCGTTTTCAGGTAGTGAGATTCCCTCAGATTTTGTTTGTTACCTTGCTTTGTATCTCCCTAATGGATTTATGACATTTGAACATCGGTAAACTACTGTTGTATCTAACTTGGTACAAGTACAATATGTGGCGGTCTTAATATAGACTATATGGCGTAAAAAGTATAACACACAATACAAACCTGCACAATGGAGCTACCAACATTAAGCCAGCATTTAATTTGAATAAAAGAAATAAAAGACGGCACGTAATCTTTTAAACACTGGCCATGACCTTCATAAATCACCCAAAAAGATACGTGTACATGGATGAATTTTTTTTTTGCATAATTCAGAAAACAAAAATTAGTTTTTTATTGTTTTAATATGGAGGGGTGATATAATAAGTCCCTCATCTGCAATGAAATTTTAAATATTCCTCTTTACAGCAACTCGATGATAGTCTAATACGTAACTATTTATCTCTTAAATTAACTTAATAGGTAATTGCGAGTGTAAGTAACATGTCATTCCTATATTTCGATAGTATACGTATCAATCTTTATATATAAATTTTATAATAACAGGCAAAAGTTTGTCATGTAATCTCAAGTGAGTTTTAAATGATTGGAAAAACATTTATGAAAAAAAACATGAAGCGTTTTCAATGATTTTGTGCTATGACATATATATTTGAGTGTTACTGAGTGAAAAATGTGAGGTTTCTGATAACTACATTAAACAGTGCTCTACAACAAATAGTTCATAAAATTATACGAAAAAATACAATGTACCTTAATCGAGAAGTGTAGATTCTAAGCAACTTGTCAATGAAAGTTTGAATGAGTCCTGGTACTCTTTTTATTTTAATGGCCTTAATGTCAACTTCGTCTGAGCGACAAAATTAGTAGCATACAATCGGTTTACCAACGCTATCAATGATTAAAAAAAGAGCGTTTTGAGTGATTTTAATAACATTTATGAACAAGGAGAACACATTTTGTGTAATACTTAGTTGGATAAGTTCTAATAATCTTATCATTACATATAGGATATGATATAGACAGTCAAACAACGGATGAAATCATTGCTAACTGGAGGGTAGAAGATCTAGAGTCAGGATTATCGCACTGTGAATGGGCAATTGGTAAGTTATACTGCTTCATAAAAACATCACAAAATACATGATATTTGTAATAAACTTTCGGAATATGAATAAAGCAACTAGCTTAATACTTACATTTTTCTATCTATTTTCTAAGCATAAATGCAAGTAGTCAGACTAAAATCAGCAGCAGTAGATGAAGGCAGCTCGGATTTGTATTTAAAATGCATAATTATGAATTGAATATCGTTGCACATTTTCTGTAACTATACATCCAAAGAGCAATGTCTCTGTTATTTTAATTTCTCTTTCAGTGTTAATTTTATTGCGCAAGTTTTGTATCAAATATTCATTTAAGGTAGCGGGAGAACAACTTTTTTGTGCAATAACGTATGTAAAATTTACAATCAGAAATTAGTATACTTTTTAATAAATGCAAACATTTAATCATTTCATCCCTTTAAGAATGAGATGTCTGCATTTTTGGTTTGAAGATTGCAGTTCTGCACTTAAACTTAAATCTTATTGATAGGTTTTAGTGAATTTGGTAATGAGATCCAACCGTTTGTACGAATATCGGCTGAACTGTCATCTGTATCTAAAGTATTTGACCATAGTATGGTGTCATCAAAGACAGTTCATGTAACACTACGGTGTCACAATAAGGCAGGTTTACACAGCAAAAAATCATCAGACGGAGTAACAATATCAGAAAATCCTCCATCTATACAGAGTGCTCAGGTTCAAATTCTGGACCAACCAATTACGGAATACAAAAATAAACCAAACTTCCATGGAAACACCTCTACTGTGCGGTTGAAGTTGATGGGCTTTGAGGATAAATCAGGCTTAGATTCATTTCTTGTAAGTAGATAATCTCTTTTTTATTAATCTCAGGTACACGTTAAACACATATTACTGTCTGCCACGATATTCAAATATACAGTGTATTTTGGTGCTGATGCTCCCTTATTAATTACGTATTTACTTTTTTTACCATTATGTCTCAAACGTTCCTGATGCATAAAATACATGCGGTGCGCATGAAAACGATACGTTTATAGCCATATCAACGAAGTAAACCAGTAAAACATAAGGCAATTTCTTATCTTTACATAGAAACTAAAGAGCCTGTGTCGCTAACCTTGGTCTATGTGCATATTCAACAAAGGACACTATCCAACATTGTAAACGACAATAGAGTTCATGACAAAAATCTCTGTTTTGTTGATCTTGTATTGCTGATCATTTAGTCTGTTTAGTTTCTCTCTATTTTCTTTAGTTTTTGCTCAAAACACAAAAGAGGGTAACAAAAATCCTCATTTAAGGGCAATCACTCCTATAAAGAGTGACTGTCTACTACCTATATCGGCAAAATTTGACTCGTTAGTAGATCTTGCCTTGCTGATCATTTTTGTGATTTAAAGTGTCTATCTATCTATTATATTTTTTATCATGCAAGGCAAAACGCAAAAAAAAAAAATGGCAAAAATCATCATTAAAGGGCTATAATTCCAATAAAGAGTCATCGGACAATTTCTTCTATTTGTCTTAACTGTAGATCTTGTCTTGCTGATCATTTTTGCTTATTTTAGTTTCTATCCATCTTTTATAATTTTTAAGATATAAAGCAAAACGCAAAAAATTGGTAAAAATCATCATCAAAGGGCGATAACTCTAATAAGGAGTCGTCTGTCGATTTCGACAATGTGGAAATTATTTGTAGAACTTGTCTTGTTGATCATTTTTGCAAAGGTTCTTTCTATCTATTATAGTTTTCAAGATAACAAGCAAAAATGAAAAAAAAATGGTAAAATTTGTCATTTAAGGGCAATAACTCCTATAAGAAGTCGTCTGACGGTTTTGACGTATATGTACAATTGGCAGATCTCAACATTCTGAACATTTTTCTCTACTCATAGCAGTTTCCAAGATAGTTGATAAAACTTGCGTTTTATTCTTTTTATTGCATTTATGTTGGTTGGCAGGCGGAGTCATGGGATACATTTTTTAAACTAGATACCCCATTAATCATTGTGGCTAAGTTTAGTTAAATTTGGCCCAGTAGTTTCAGAAGAGAAGATTTTTGTAAAAGTTAACGGACGACAGACGACGGACACCAAGTGATGAGAAAAGCTTCCATTGGGCCAGGTGAGCTAAAAAAGTGGCCATAGAATGGTTTTAATTGTCAAACTTTTCATCGTCCCATTGCATTTTATTTGTTTGGAATAATTATTGTAACGAAATGTGGGTCCCCTGAATTGCAACTTGTTTCCCCTAAAATTGTGTGATGACGTTGTATCTTACCGATAATTGACTTTTCTTATTATATATTTCTTGTATAACTATGTTTAAACATTGTTAACTCTAAAACTTTTTATTATTCTTGTCTATGTTTTTACATAGGAACACCTGTTCATTGTGTACTTAAAATGACGTACAATGACGTCATTACCTATTTTGGTAATCACCAGTTCCGGTTTTGGTAATTTAGGTATTTTCCGAAATGGTAAATGGTAAACCAAATCGGTAAATTGGTTTACCTAAGTATAAATACGGCGGAGAATACAGATAAGTCTTTAGCACGATTTTACCCTGGGCAAGTAACACACGTTAATTCCAAGCGATTTTGATATACGTACAGATACCATGTACCAGACCAAGTAGTTAACCAGATAGCCAACACTATTACAATGTCCGAGGAGTTGACGTCCGTATAATGTGGGTTTGTTAATTCCTTTCCAAGTCAGGTGCATTTAGAGAATAACTTCTCGAGAGAAACTTTATCTTTTGGCATTGAATTTGATTTACCATTTGCCGTTTACCAAACTACAATTAGTAAACTTTCTGGGAATATTTTTCCGCTATTCATTTTCTTTAATTCACGATAAAAGGTTAATAAAGTATTTATCTGTAAGTCTAAAATACTGTTAAGTTATTTAATATTTATATGTATTGTTGATATTTAATACATCTTAAAGTTAATACAAGTTGATTTTTATTCAACGAGTCTGTTATTCTTACAAACATCGAGAGTTACCATACAAAAACCTATACTCCAATCTACCCTTTTATATCCGAGTCATTACCTTACCAGAGGAACCAGCCTTACCAGTATGTATTCAGAATACCAGAGTACCACATAGTACCACGATACCAGAGTACCACGCTACCAAAGAATGGTCACCACTTATAACTTTTATTTCTTATATACTCGTACATTCTAACATAACACATTCTTATAGCAACGCACTAAGGGATAAATATTTATAGGTTACACTAAGGCCCGACCGCTCGGTTTTCGTTACAGTGGTGGCAGCGGAGGCACGTACCTACATTTTTATATTCTTTAAAAAAGTGTAATTATATTCAAGATAAGGCATAAATAAAAATAAGTAAAATGGATAGCGCGGAAAATAAATTTGAAACACCTAGGTTAACTGCTCAGGGTAGACCAGTGCTCCCCCGATCTCGGTCCTGTGAAATTTTCCATGATCTGACGCCGACCGGAGAGATAGGCATAAGAGTGAACCAAGATCAATGGCCCTCACAAGAGAATACGAATAGATTCGAAAAGGATGGTATACATCATACTGACAATAGGCCATTGTCAGGGGATCTATCACCATCAAGGAAAGTGGCCATTGACCAAGCGAAAAACCCGGAAGTTTCAAATAGGGCAACGGTTGTGCATTTGGAAAAAAATGCAGCGCGTACGGTAAAACAGAATTTTGGTGAAGAGTCAAGGACTCTTTCGGACCATATGCCAGAGGGTCTAGGTATGGGTTTTGGAGTCAGAAAGCAAGGGATACTGCTGAGGGAGACTCCGGGAATACAAGACGAGGCGCGACGTCTTGTGAATCCGATGCCCGACGGGGTAGATGGGATTCGGGAGATTTACCTAGGACTTTAGACCGGGGCGTACCCCATAATCAGGGGGCAACGTACCAAGCATTACCTTTGACGTCCCGCGGACGATTCAGAGTGGGGGTTAACGGGACCGACCATGAACACCGTACTGATGAAATGACCAGTAATACAAATTATGCTGGCATTAGCAATGAACAAAATTTTGAGCGTGATTATGATTTAAACTTACAAAATACAAAATATTACAAAAAGAAATCAGCACTTTATGATGGTGAAAGTAAAAGGGAATGTCTCCTATTGAATAACCGATCCCAAAGGTTAGAAGGTAACAGAACTAACAACTTAATTCCAAGAATAGTGGCAGACCAAATGACTGGTCGGGGAAACTTTTAGTGGCTGAAACTGAGGACCAAGTTTCAGCAGCAACTAAATATGATTTGAAAAATCCAATAATTTTGAGAAATTGAATCAGATAAATATATTCTGAAAATATATATGTACACATTGTAATTGTCAGTGTTATGACATGAAATTGAATTGTTTGATTGATACCGGGTCCACTGTTAGTGTCCTTAACTCATCCATGTATAATATCATGTCCAAGAGTGTAAAGCCAGTGCTGTCCAATGCACGTAGTGGTTTACGCATGTCTAATAGAAGTGTAGTTATGCCGGTGGGGACTGCTGAATTACCAACGCAGTCGGATAATAAAATTGTGTATCGCCGTCTCATTGTTGCAGACATAGATCTACTTGTACCAAGGATTATTTAGTTTGATTTTTAAAAATAAAAGTCCATGTATATTGTATAAGGGAAAGATTTTCTTTTTTTTAAATTGACGGTCAATATATTTCAACTTTTTATTAATATTGTATATATTTATTGATTGTTTAAATATTAAACTTGTTTTCAGGATATTCATTTGTACAATAATATTAGTGTTTTATGAACATTCGTCTAGCCGAGAAGATTTGATAGTGCTCTATAAACATTTGTCAAAATACACAGAATTAGTTCCGAATAAAGAAAATTCATCATGCGAAGAAGATGTGTTGGTGCTTTATAAACATTCGTCATTATATGCACACAGAAATTAATTAAGTGTGTTTAATGAACATGAATTCGTCCTGCCGAGAAGATTTGATGGTGCTCTATAAATATTCGTCAAAATAAACAGAACTCGTGTTTTATGAACAATCGTTATGAGAAGAAGCGATGTTGGTGCTATATGAACATTTACAAAACTAAAGGATCATAAAGGACAGTGCGGAATTCAAGCTTTGCGTGAAGATGTATATGAACAATGAACATTCCAAAGATTAATTAAACTTGATTAATTATTGTTTTATAATGTTGAATATGTATGTTATAGAATATTTTAATGAATGATATTGGAGAACTTGTTTTAAATTTTAGGAAATGTCTATTCATGTTTGTGGACAAACATTATTTTTCAAAGGTGGGGAGAGTGTAACGAAATGTGGGTCCCCTGAATTGCAACTTGTTTCCCCTAAAATTGTGTGATGACGTTGTATCTTACCGATAATTGACTTTTCTTATTATATATTTCTTGTATAACTATGTTTAAACATTGTTAACTCTAAAACTTTTTATTATTCTTGCCTATGTTTTTACATAGGAACACCTGTGCATTGTGTACTTAAAATGACGTACAATGACGTCATTACCTATTTTGGTAATCACCAGTTCCGGTTTTGGTAATTTAGGTATTTTCCGAAATGGTAAATGGTAAACCAAATCGGTAAATTGGTTTACCTAAGTATAAATACGGCGGAGAATACAGATAAGTCTTTAGCACGATTTTACCCTGGGCAAGTAACACACGTTAATTCCAAGCGATTTTGATATACGTACAGATACCATGTACCAGACCAAGTAGTTAACCAGATAGCCAACACTATTACAATGTCCGAGGAGTTGACGTCCGTATAATGTGGGTTTGTTAATTCCTTTCCAAGTCAGTTGCATTTAGAGAATAACTTCTCGAGAGAAACTTTATCTTTTGGCATTGAATTTGATTTACCATTTGCCGTTTACCAAACTACAATTAGTAAACTTTCTGGGAATATTTTTCCGCTATTCATTTTCTTTAATTCACGATAAAAGGTTAATAAAGTATTTATCTTAAGTCTAAAATACTGTTAAGTTATTTAATATTTATATGTATTGTTGATATTTAATACATCTTAAAGTTAATACAAGTTGATTTTTATTCAACGAGTCTGTTATTCTTACAAACATCGAGAGTTACCATACAAAAACCTATACTCCAATCTACCCTTTTATATCCGAGTCATTACCTTACCAGAGGAACCAGCCTTACCAGTATGTATTCAGAATACCAGAGTACCACATAGTACCACGATACCAGAGTACCACGCTACCAAAGAATGGTCACCAGTTATAACTTTTATTTCTTATATACTCGTACATTCTAACATAACACATTCTTATAGCAACGCACTAAGGGATAAATATTTATAGGTTACACTAAGGCCCGACCGCTCGGTTTTCGTTACATTATTATCAATATCAATTATTTACAACTTGTGACCGATCAACTCGAATCTATCAAAATGAATATCCCTTTTACTTAAGATAATGAGTTGTCTCCATTTTTCATATTCTTTTGTTCATGCACCTTGGGTAACAATGCAGCAAAGAAAGGGGAAGGGTGCAATTAGGCACAGAAATAAAAAAAAAATACATGCATTCCCCCTTACTCAACTGGTGCATGTATTCTATTGTCTTTTTGAAATTGAAATATAAAGTTGTTACTTTACATTTAATATAGTACATGATTTTTTGTTCATTGCCGGCGGTGAGATTAGAACATGATCTCTCTCCTGCCAGCTGGTCTATCTTACCACCGTACCACAGGGAGCATTGAAATCTAAGTATTGTAGTATAATGCTTAGGAAGTGAGAAAAACACAATATAATTCAGCTTCATTTTTCGTATGAAATAATTAGGACGAGTCTGTCTATTGTTTTCTTGACATATACATTGGTCCTTCATTTACGCGAGAGTGTTTTCAACATTACCATAAGCAAGCACTTCAAAAATAACGTTTTGTTACTCCTGTTTCAAGTAACCTAACAATTCTTAGGATATTTTCGTGTTTTATGTCTCTTTTTCAATTCATCCTGTAAGAAAATAACACAAAATGTTGAGGAAATTTTGAGTTTGTCCTCACTGTATGTAAACTATTAATCACATATGTCGCGCGTGTACAAGTTATTATATAATTTTGATTTTATTCTTCCAAACCACCCGGCACATTTAATAATCATAGTAGAAGTCATATTTTGTCCCACAAAAATTAACAGTCTAAGAAAAATTGGTACTGTTAGTGTTATTACATTTTAATTCATCTAAGAAGAATATGCTGTTAAAATCATATAACGAAAAACAGTTTTCACAGATAAAAGGTTTTCAAAAGTCATACTTATCCTTCTGTTTACAATCATCTTAATGAACTGATAAAAATTCACTGTTTGGCAAACAATTCTAAAAAGTAAATTAGACAGTCTCGACAGAAGGAAGTCCTCATCACGTTATAACAGAACATACCTTATATATTGAAGGTGGAATTTGAAAACCAAGACAAGACGGTTTCTTTATCAAAGACAATCCTTTATGACCACGATGGTGTAATGTACTGTAGTATGACTGGTTTTGAACTGCATGATGGACAGTATGTAGCCAGAGTATCAGCAATTAATAATGCATTCCTATCCAGTAACCCTGTATCAATAAATATTTTTGTGTCAACAAAAAATCCTAAAGTATCAGGTATGTTTATCGTTTTATTACTTAAAATACTTTTCTTGAGGAAACATATATACATAAACATGATAAATGACGTTCATGTACGAAGTAATCATGCAAGAATAATACTAATGTTAAGTTGTGCAAAAAATGTTTGGAAATGTCCATTATCTATTTCATTTAGTTATTGGTTGTTTTCAATGCTCTTTTATATTGAAATTGATTTTAATCTTCTGTTGTAATAAATTATCTTTAAAAATCTTATTCTAGATTGATAAGAATTGAATGAAACTAACAATTGATGCACACAAAGTGGTCTTCAACATGTGTAACCATCTTATAATTACTTTGTATAATACGAAAGCAAAAAGGAATTTTTAAGAAATAATCAAATTAAGTCCGGTGCAATAAAAAGTGAACAAAGAAGACAAAACTCTACAACATACTACAAAAATGAAACCAAAGTTTAAAAATTTATTAAAGCGTCAAGTGAATACTTGATACTAGTGCTTAGAACAATGATATAAGCTCAATCAGAAGTTTAAGCGTAAGATGTGGAAAAAAAATTAATGAAATAACCGGGGTAAAATATAATAAGAGATCAAGACATGGATTATATCAGGAGAACGTGTAGATTCGGGATCGTTTATAGCTTTATATAATGTATAGACAGCTGAAGATTGTTGTAAACTGTATGTTGAAATTTTTTTTAATTTAAGTTTTGTGAGTTTTCCTCCTTAGCTCTTTTGAAATCAAATGAAACCAGTTTCTTGTAATTTGAACATTAAGGAAATTATTGAACCAAGGCATGGATATATATACTAAACTAAGTCCTCATTGCACGCTTTTTACATTTATTACGAATACTTGTATATAACGTATTATTGATAAATGATATATCACTCAGTGATTGTTGATTGCAAGCTAATTAACTTTCTAGTTTGTTGATAAAGTTTACCTGATCGTGACATTGATAAACAATCAACACAGAGCAAGTGGAGCCTTGATATATATATATATATATATATATATATATATATAGAGTCTATATATATATATATATATATATAGAGTCGGGAGAAGTTTTGGATAAAAACACTGGGTGTCCTCCTTCCAGATGTAATCAATAGAAAGAAATAATTAAATTTACAGTCTAATGTTTATATTATGATATTCAGGATTTTTGATTAAAATCAATCGACCAAAACTTACCTGTATTATTACTGATATATGTTTACACCTTATACATTATATATCAGTATTGTTAAAACTTTTAACACTGAGGAAGGCCATTTGTTGAGCCGAAATATCTGCAATTATTGTATAATTTATATCATCTGTTCAGTTTTTCCATCTTTGTGCGATGATATTCAACACTTTTTAGTGTTTTGTTATCCATCTATTTATCGGTATTGTTACACAATCTTTTAGACTCATATATATATATATATATAGGATCTAAATCCAGCACAAACAACATTTTCCGAAAGACCAAAAAAGTGAAAAAGTATATTTTAACAAAACGCATTTGACTAACAGGTCGAACAACAAATGTTCTTAAACCCTGCTGACTGCCATTGGCAATTGCCAAATAAACGGATCCCCGATGTAATAAATGGATCTTAATTATAAATTTAATACTAAACAGAAAACAATAAACTTGCGGAAAAGATGATATTCCGCAAACAAAAGGTGCAAATGTTTTTGTACACCATATCCGGATTTCGACAATTAATGTCTCTTCAGTGATGTTAGGAATCGAAACGGTATTTGGAAAGCCATAAAATTTACCTCAATTTAGGATAGACTCTTGAATTTTGAGGAGTCAAAATAGGATGAACGGATCATATAAACCCGAAGGCAAATATAATACAAGCCCAAACGAAAAAATATAAACAAGTCTAAATTGAAAACAACGTTCAAACCTATGATTGCGTTGGATAAAAATCGCAATTTTTATACGTGTGCATGCAAAACAAATTTCTTGTTAGAGGGTCTAAATACCTATGCACCTTTTTTTTGCGGTATATCATCTTTTCCGCAAGTTTATTGTTTTCTGTTTAGTATTAAATTTATAATTAAGATCCATTTATTACATCGGTGATCCGTTTATTTGGCAATCGCCAATGGCAGTCAGCAGGGTTTAAGAACATTTGTTGTTCGACCTGTTAGTCAAATGCGTTTTGTTAAAATATACTTTTTCACTTTTTTGGTCTTTCGGAAAATGTTGTTTGTGCTGTATTTAGACCCTCTAACAAGAAATTTGTTTTGCTTGCACACGTATAAAAATTGCGGTTTTTATCCAACGCAATCATAGGTTTGAACGTTGTTTTCAATTTAGACTTGTTTATATATATATATATATATATATATATATATATATATATATTTTATATTTTCCATGCGTTTCCTTTTGTTATTTACACATTTTCTTAACAGATGTTAAATGATTTGTTGTTCAGTTATTATCATTTACCTTCCAGTGTACCTTTGTTTACATTCTTTCAATACGACAATTCCCCTTGCACGTGCGCTGTGCGGTAGCCGAAGTTCTAACGAGAGGTCTTGTAGTTAAGGTCACATGCATATGGGAAAATATTGGCGAAATAGTCTACGGGAAGACAATAATTTAATAGCAATACTTTTATGAAGATTTTGATAATATAAAGAATTTCTTTTACAAGAAAGTTCACATACATTTGTTTTATAGTAAAACTTAGCCATTCAAGTATATAAAACATATTCAACATTTTTCTAATTTGAAGTTACATATGACTTTTAGAACAAGATACAATGAATAACAATCCACAAATACAGGACTTCTTACTTAATACTGACAGATGACTGGTAAAATGTTTGCAATGGATTGACTTTAAAGGATAAAACAATTGTAACATTATATGAATACATGATAAGTGAATGCATTATTTATGTTTAGAAACAAAATCCATCACAATGTCTGAAAAGAACAGAACTTTAACCATTAGCTGGGATACGTATTTTACCTCTGCATTTACCTTGTACTATGAAGTGTCTGTAGGGTCAGCTTTAAATGGAGCGGATATTGTACAGTGGCAAGAGACGACAAACGAATTTCTTGTGATGCATGTCCCACTTCGGGTTAAATTCTACAGTGGAATGAATATCTATATTACAATAACAGCTATTGGATTGCATGGGCAACATACGACAAAAACTGTTGCTCTGACTATTTAATAAAAATATTTGTTTTTATCTAAAGTGCGTTGACACACAATTGCAATAATTCGTGTAAATAGTGGCTGCAACAAGCATCTTCCTTGATAATTCTGTGTGTAACAATGGTATTTTCAATAAAATGTATGTGTTATTTTAGCTTGTTTTTTCCTTGTTCGTACAAAATATTTGACATTGACAGAAGTGCTTCCACTCTACTCCTAGTTTAACAAGACTGACAAGTCTGTAAAATGTATATATCATACAAACGACATGTTTTGAGCCGCATTTTCGTTTCATCATGCAAAATAGGACTTCAATCAGCGAAAAAAATTTAGTTATTTTTATATTAGTTCAGTAATTTTATTGTATTAACTACACACTCACTCAGCTTTCTAAAAAATTTCCAATCGTATACTCCACAGTTCTTTTTAGCTCCCCTGGACTAAAAAGCCATGTGAGCTTTTGTCATCACTTGACATCCGTCCGTCGTCGTAAACTTAAAAAAAATCTTCGCCTCTGTCACTACTGAGCCAAATGATACGAAACTTTAACTGAATGTTCCTTAGGGTATTCAGTTTGAAAAATGTATCCAGATATTTGATCCATGTACAAACATGGCCGCTGTTGCTAAACAATAAATGGAACAAAGCGGTATACTACAGTTTTAAGAAGTTGTGTATAATATGTTAATGTAGATGAGTATGTTGTTCGTTATAAAAACATTTGCATATCACCTTTGGAATAAAACATCAAATATAAAAAATATATTTTGCTACTTCAAAATGAGCCGGAGAGGAAATTATCGTAGAAAAATAGTTTCTGTTAACAATCACAAATTTTGAGACCCATCTCTTTGTGCTAATTGATATATAGGTTTCATACCGATTCCGAATAATTTCCCAGCGACAACCATTTGTTTTTGTGAAATATGGGACCATCGTCATGCAAATCTACACTAAAGTCAAAATGTCACAATCGGTTAAAGGACATGTAAATTTATGTATTTTTTTTATACCGATGATGGTGGACTATCAGTCCCTGGAGGTATCATAACCTCAGTAGTCAGTATTTCGGTACTGACATGATTAATAACAAACCTTTCTGAAATTGTCGTTTAAAATAATTTAAAAACTATTAAAACAAACCTATGTTTCAACTCCCTCTGTCAAAATTGACCTTAGATGGATTTGGCTTTTATTTTAAGTCCTTTTTGGTCATATAAGCTCTTCTACTGGAAATAATTGCAATCGATATGCAACCATTATGCTCCAATGATAGCATTGCTGTAAAATACATGAAGAGTTACCTTTTAACTCAGCTTTGGCTAATTGACTATGAAAACACTCTTAAAAGTTGTATGATCTTTTACATTTCGTTCGGCCAGACATATATAACGATAAAAAGAATAATAGTTATTTAGGTGTATTGCAAAGTTCAAATTTTAAAATCATATGAAACGAGTTCGTGGTGATTATAATGTTAATGAAATATTGAACATATGCATGCGTATATACTAAACTATGTCCTCTGTGCACGTTTTTTAAACATTTATTACGAATCCGTAACGTTTAATCGACAAAGAATATGCCATTCAATGATTGTTGATTGATATGCTTTGATTGCTAATAAACTTTGGGGTTTTGGTGCCAAAGTTTACCAGATCGGCGCGTTAAGCATTGACCAATGTATAATAAATGAGCTAATAATTATTACGGTATATACTATAAATTACATGTTTGCGTGCATTAATCAAAAGAGAGGCGAAATGTATCAAAAGGACAATTAAACTCATAAAATCGAAAATAAACTGACAACGCCATGGCAAAAAAGAAAAAGACCAAAAGACAAACAACAGATTACAAAACACAACATAGAAAACTAAAAAACTAAGCAACACGAACCCCATCAAAACCGGGGGGTGATCTCAGGTGCTCCGGAAGGGTGAGCAGATCCTGCTTCACATGTGGCACCCGTCGTGTTGTTCATGTAAGTACAAATCCGGTGATAATTCTAATTCGGTAGGTCATATTCGGGATAAAGGGGGTCGGGATTGTTGTTACGACGATAAGAATATATCCGTCGTCATTTTTGAAACAGATATTTCATAAAGGTAAACCAAATCGTGATGGTGTCCGTAAAATTTTCGAATGGATGATTTCAACTTCACAAATTGGAACTCTTGGTTTAATAGCTGCCTTGTGAGTAGAATCTCTCTATCAATGAAATCATGATAGGAAAGGCAAGCCCAGGAATATCGTATTAACTATTAATGTTAAACATCAGACATATACATTTGTAATTGACCTTTTAAATAACGTCCCAAGAAAACAGACCTAATTACCAATATGACAGTAATGAATTAATATTTAAAATGAGATCAAGGTCACATGGACATATACTTAACCATGATTCTATTCACCACGGTTAATAAACCTCATAGCAAAATCTTGAAAATGAAAAAAAATAAAACATGATTCAAGGTCAATCTTGCAGGCTTACTTCATATATTTTCTATAGACTTAACCTGATATTGAATCTTAAATCCTTTAATCATGAAAACAATGATCAATGAATCAGGAAAACAAGATGGAGATTAAGTGTCACTCTTAGATACTGAAGCAGCTCAGAATATCATACTAAAGTACAGTGGATTTACAGTAAAGTATAATTGAATGAACATAAAGAATGCCAAGTCAATTGTATCGCCTACTTTATTCATTATGATAGAAAATGCATGTTGAATCTTTAAGATCACAATAAGATCATTGTTAATGATCTATAAAATTAGGCCAAGATCAGAGAGACATGTGCACTTTATAATTATTCTATCCACAAAAGATACTGTGTTTCCATATATTTGTGCATGGATTTGATATAGCGATTGTTTAGCCATAGACAATACCCCCAGTTTTTGGTGGGGTTCGTGTTGCTTAGTCTTTAGTTTTCTATGTTGTGTCATCTGTACTGTTATTTGTCTGTTTGTCTTTTTTTTTGGCCATGACGTTGTCAGTTTGTTTTCGATCTGTGAGTTTGACTGTCCCTCTGGTATCTTTCGTCCCTCTTTTTTAATACACTTTCAGGAAATCTTGCATCAAAATAATGCTAACAGAACTTAAAATGCGTATTAAATTTCAGTATTTTCCCAATAATAAAACATTCCAAAATTTACAAAAGTTACCTCTAAACTCATACAAACAGACGTAGTCACATAAAACTCAATGTATACCCAATATACCATGACTGTGAGGTTAAGGTCATATGATCACTTTCAGACAATGTCCACGTAACGTTCATACTATTAACCAAATACAGTCGAAGTTTTTCTTACAGTATCTGAGAAAGATACCCGATTTCCAAAACTAAATCTTGGCCGATAAATCATGAAAATGAGGTCAATACCAGATAATCCCTTTCAGACACTACGCTTTACGGTCATTCTATCAATCAAAGACAGTCGAACTATAACTTCCTGTATCTTAAAAGCTTGCCGATTTCCAAAACTAAATCTTGGCCATGAACCATAGAAATGAGGTCAAAGACATATAAACCTTGTAAGGTTGATAGTTATATCTTGCACGCATTCAATGTATACAACCAAATTTGACTTCAAGATTTAGGATTTCAGAAAATTAATCTAAATGGGAATAATTTAGCTTAATGTTGATCAATGAACTATGAAAATATGGTCGAAGTTAGACTTACTGTCCGACAAACATGCGCATCGTAAGATAATTCTAAATACTGTACTTGTCTTGACATGTTCATAATTCTACAATACACATCACTACAGGGTATTAATTTTAGATTTGAATAATGTACTATTTAATTAGATATATGAAGTAAGTTCTCGACAATATGACTAAAATGGAATTAAATGGATAGCCATGAATTCATAACTGGATAAAATAAACAGATTGTCAACCTAACTGAAAGAAACAAGGACGCAAGTTTTAATCAGGTAAGGCCAAGACAATTTCCTTTAAGATGTATTTATTTACATGTAATAACTATAACCATATACATATCTGTAAACAAGAATGCACAAGCTAAAATTTCTCGCCTGCTTTACTGATCATGATTGATTCAATGTTAAAACTGTAATAGGTAGAGATTATACTACAGGTATCACATAAACTTAATATCACCAATGATTCAGGACCATAAGGTCAAGGTAAGATAAACACTAAAAAACAGACATGTACATCTCACAATCATTCCATAAACCAAATATAGTTGATCTATTGCATCATAGAAACTGACCAGACCATGAAAACTTTGCACTGACCAATGAATCATAAAAAATCGTAAGGGGTTCCGCGGAACCCTGTGTCTCGCTGCAATTGCTGCTTTCAGTGTAAAAGTGTAACGTTGACTTAAAAAGTGAGTCCTTTTTTTCAGTAAAATAAAGAATTTAAAAAAATATATATTTTTTTCTTTATATGTTCTTTCTTTGTCTTGAAGATTAGCTTCTGTCCAAGTTTCATAACAATCCATGAAGGTTTACAACCCATATTTCAGTCAGTACTTGCATCTCATATATCCCAGTGAACTTGAAATTAAGGATACTACTGATACAAGAAGGACTGCTTCATACCTTGATCTTTTCCTCAATATTGACACAGATAGACGATTTCACACTAAAATCCAAATAATTATAAAATTGCCTTTCAATACCATCATTGTCATATTCCCGAATATGACTGTTATACTGACTGTGAATTTGCATTGCTGTGCGGCGTGTCTTGGTGTTTCATGGTCAGTAAAGCAGGCGAGAAATTTTAGCTTGTGCACTCTTGTTTACAGATATGTATTTGGTAATAGTTAATTGTTTTGAACATCCAACATTAATGGCTTTATTTTGATGTTTCTGTTATGGTTTCGGTTGGATAATCTGTTATGTCTTTTCGTTTGTTGTCCAAATAATTATAAAATTGCCTTAAGATCAAGGTATGAAGCAGTCCTTCTTGTGATATTATCTCGAAAAGTAAGTCATGATGATATATTTGTCTTTGCATATTTCGAAAGTGCATATCAAAAGTGACTTTGAATCAAAATCCTAAAAAAAACAAATCAACGAGGGATCTTTTCTGTATCGTATGCCCTTAAGCAGTAGCTGAACCATGAAAATGACGTCAAGGACAATGGACATATGACAA